TACGTAACTTTCATCCCCAGGTAGCTCAGTCGGAAGAGCAAGCAGAGAACATATCTCTGTTGACGCTGGTTCGAGTCCATTATTGGGGGGGGGGGATAAGTGTTTGTTAAAGCGCTTTTTGCATCAGTCAGAACGTCTTGGATGTTGAACGTCGATCGTCGAGCAAGTGACTTAGAAGTCGTACATGGAGAGACCTGAAATTTGAATGATGCATTGAGCATTGAGTAGTCGCGTGACAAGTTTGACAGAACTGGGAACTATAACTCCTGCACGCACCACGTCAATATAACCTCCGGTAGCTCAGTCGGAAGAGCATACAGAGTACAATAAAACGCTCCCCCGATTCATTCTGTAGACGCTGGTTCGAGTCCAGCCCGGGGGGTAGGAGTCTAATGAATCAGCGTGCCTTTTTTCTACTACACCAGTCGAGACGGCGTTTGTTATGCAGAGGTTACGCGAGGTTGAGGAAGTCGGTAGCACAATGGAATACGGGAACGTACCAGGAGAGCATCACCAAGAGGCCGCACATTTCATTACCGTGTAACCGGTCTGTATACTTAAGTCTAGTCAGTCGCGTGTAGTGGATCACGGTACGGATGTCCGCGAGGAGACGTACTTACCGCTAACCCTCCGGTAGCTCAGCGGGAAGAGCAAGCAGAGCACAGTAAACTTGTAGCTGAAATCGTGTTTGTGTATCTCTGTGGACGCTGGTTCGAGTCCAGCTCGGAGGTTTAGGAGATCGAAGAAACTTTTGCATGAGAAGATCGAGCGCACAATAACAAGTTCCGAATACTTCACGTTGGTCGAAGCTACAACGGAAGCAGACATTGTCTGCCTAGTCGTGTATGGACGATAAAGGAAGGCGCCGCAAAAGAAAGGTAGCCGGAAGATAGCTAGAACAAAGGGAGCCACGAAAGGCGTACACGAGGAACCATCATGCCGTACCTTTCATCCCTAGGTAGCTCAGTCGGAAGAGCAAGCAGAACACACATCTCTGTTGATGCTGGTTCGAGTCCAGTCTTGGGGTAATAAGTGTTTGTTAAAGCGTTTTTTTTTGCATCGGTCAGGACGACCTGATCATCTAACGAACGTCGAACGTCGAGCAATTGCAGGAAGCCGTACATGAAAATACCTAAATGATGCATTGAGCAGTCGAACTGGAAACTAGAGTGTATTTTAGCACGCACCACATGAACACAGACCTCCAGTAGCTCAGTCGGAAGAGCAGATAGTTCTCAGCGTCATCTGATCTCCCAATGACCTTACTTTGTTTCCTATCGACGCTGGTTCGAGTCCAGCCCGGGGGACATTCATTGACTCAGTCTATCAGCCCTTTTTCGGAGACGTTCTCGTGCACTGTCCAAAGTCTGACACAAAGCAGCGTTCCATTGACAGTCATGATGGTACAATCCAGTGTGGTCCTGTGGGTGGAGCGCTGACGATACGATAAAGAACTCGATCATCCCACTTACCACATCGCAACTTGAGGTGCGCACAACCTAGAGACTCAACCTCCGATAGCTCAGTCGGTAGAGCGACGGGTCAAAATTAACGACATTTGCAGTCGCTGTTGATTTCGAAACCCGTAGGCGCTGGTTCGAGTCCAGCCCGGAGGAGTTCGTTGTCACACACTGGTTTTTGGGTCAGTGGTGGATAGGATAGGATCGAAGAGCGCGTGGTGCTGGGAGGGGGATGTGATGGGTGCGTACCGAGTATTATGTGTCACATTCAGGAGACAAACCGATAAAAACGAATGAGCCACAGCCAAGCGACGGACATGTCAAGAGAAAGGAACGCACCTGTACCTGTAATCCTCCGGTAGCTCAGCAGGAAGAGCGAACAGAGCACAATAGCATCTGCGTTAATGACAATGCATCTCTGTTGACGCTGGTTCGAGTCCAGCTCGGAGGGCCTGCTCAACGCTGTTATTTCTTTTATGCGCCGCTGAAAAAAAAATGCGGTGGACGTATGCGGCTGTAACAAAGGAGATGAGTGGCGCAGAGCGGCTAAATCAACAATGGACGCACGAAACTCTTCACAGTCGTGCTCACCTCATCAAAGGATATCCACCGGTAGCTCAGTCGGAAGAGCATACAGAGCACAATGGCACGTAGTCTACGAAGTTGATTCTGTAGACGCTGGTTCGAGTCCAGCCCGGGGGGTAGGTGTCGATTGAAACAGCGTGCATTTTTTTTCCACCACAGCAGTCGAGACGGCGTTTGTTGTTCGGATGCTGCGGGGATTGAGGCAAGCGTCCCCTGGCGATCAGTCGTCTGTAGTGTGGATGTCCGCTCGGACACGTCCTTACCGCTAACCCTCCGGTAGCTCAGCAGGAAGAGCGAACAGAGCACAATATAGTGTGACAAACGAATGGATCTCTGTGGACGCTGGTTCGAGTCCAGCTCGGAGGGCCTGACATCATGTTGGAAAGACACCAAATTTTTGCATGAGAAGGTCGAGCTCATAAGAACGAGCTCTATTATATCACGTCGGGTGTAGCTACAACACAGGCAGACGTTGTCAGCGTAGTCGATAGTCAATCAATACTCAGATAAATTAAAGGAAGATACCGCAAAGAAAAACGGATGATCGATGATAGCCATATAAAACGAAGGGAGTTGCGAAAGGCCTGGGGTAGGAATCATTGTGGCGTACCTTTCATCTTTAGGTAGCTCAGTCGGAAGAGCAAGCAGAACACATACTTCTCTCTGTTGACGCTGGTTCGATTCCAGCCTGGGGGTTAAAAGGTCTGCGCGAAGGTCTTTTGCATCAGTCAAGACGAGATCTAGCTAGCTATCATTGAACGTCGGGCGTCGAACGTCGAGTAGCTATCGACTTGCTCACGCCAGAGTCCAGCACTTTTTCGTAAACATTCTCCTGCTCCGTGCGGAAATCGACACAAAGCACCGGGATCCTCGTTCAGGAGAACACACTACGTCTGGGTAGAGAATCTGAAACACGAGGATCAGTGGAACAAAGCATGAAAGGTGGAGAGGTTGAATGAAGGAACGCCCGGTAGCTCAAGCGGAAGAGCGAGGAGACCTTGTCAGAGAAAAGGACTATGGTATCTCTGTGACGCTGGTTCGAGTCCAGCCCGGGCGGCCTGTGGGTTCGAAATGGCGTTTTTTCTACGAGTAGCGTTGTGCATGTATGGTGCGCTCTGATTTCCCTTGGAGGGCATCCGGGTCATGGCAAGGATAGGGACAAGCAAAAGTTTACTTGATTGCATGCACGAGAAAAGAAGTAGTATAGCTGTTCAAATGTGAAGGGTTTAGTACCTCGACGAGAATGTAGAATATTTTGGTCCGCAACGCACTGTAGATCTCCACCTCCCGTCACATCTACGAGAACAAGCCTCCACCGACCTTACTGCCCACGACCTTGAAACCCCTCGGCGCCTTCCTATCCCACCTCTGCTCCGTCTTATTCCTCACCTGCTCCGGCCCAACATTCTGCACCTCCAACAACTCCTTACACGTCAATATCTTGCCCGCCATCTCCGGCGAATGTGGGTGGAACACGGTCTGCATGCGGCGATGAATGCCCATGGATACGAGGGTAGCCTTGATATGTGCGGGAAGGGCGATGGCAGAGCGTTTAAGGGTGATACGGAAATGGGTATGTGGGCTGTTTGGGATGGCGTTTATGGTGGAGGGTGGGTGGGGACGTGTTGGTGCGGGGGAGGATGCGGGCCCGGGGATGGTGGTTATTTCGCGGCGGAAGACATGCTTGGAGGACGAGGCGAGCGATTGAGGCTTGAGAGTCTGTGAGGCCCGTTGCAGGGCAAGCCGGGTCGTCATTCTTGTCTTGCTCGTCGTCGTTAGCGGCGAAGGACTACAGGTCACGAAAAGTCACGCCGAGTCGTACTGTGACCTAATGTGACAGGAAGTGACAGTCGCGTTACGGACGCGTCCGGCGTGACTACTATGTTTATCTCGTGTCGCGCGTTTCCACGCTTTGCTCTCTAATCTTCTCCCTAATTGTTGACCGTATTTCTTGCTTAGTTTATCATCTGTTCTGCGGAAAGGATTATCTGTTGCAATATAGTGATACTGTAGCCGAAATTTACAGCCAACATGGCGTCGCGTCGTTCCAACAAGTCACACAAGGTATGTCGCCTTGTCCGATCTTCAATAAGCAACCCGCCGCTTACCCTCCTCTCCATTTCTCCTACCTTAATGTCTAGGTCCCAAATGTCAAACTACGACCAGCAGCGCCACAGCCATATCATCGCGACAACACTCCTCCATCATCTCTAGGCCTCGACCGAAGTTCCTCGCCAGTACCCCTAGATCTCTCCTCGAGCTTCATTGATCCGTGTCCGAGACCTTTCAAAGGTGTCACGCTGTGTGCGACCGGGGTCGATAAGGTACGCTTGTTGCTTTGAATATTGGACGGGAACTGATGTGCTGGACTGGGTTGTCGCATGACTGGGTGGATAGACGACTTTGTTTTCATGTGCAAGCAAGTTGGGAGCGAACACGACGTCGGACTTCACGGATAGAGTTACGCATCTTATTGCGATTACTCATGGAGGGGCTAAATACATGGTACGCTCCCTTATTCTCACCTCTCACGTCTCAATTCCCCTACTACGCTCGTGCTACTACTACGCTCGTGCTACCTTGTCTTTCAACAATCGTGGCCACGAGACTTCTGTCGTCCACGCCAACCCGAAAGTGCCGTGATACTGACAACTTTATTTCGCTCAGTGTGCCCTGGAACGTAAAATCCCAATCATGCAGCCTTCGTGGGTGCACGATAGTTTCGAGATCTGGCAGCGCGGCGACGATGTCGACTTTGACGAGGTACGTCTTCCTCACCCCATCATTCTCGCCTTACCTCTCGTTTCCTCCCACTCCTCTTCATCATCTCACAGCCCTTACTCTTTACTGATCTGTCACGAATCTTCAATATACCTCGAAAACATAACAGAGCATCAACTCCCACCGTCTCCCCATCTTCAACGACCTCACAATCTGCCTCTCCGGCATCTCTTCCGTCCCCCGCCGTATCGAGATAAACCGCATAGTCCGCGCTCAAGGCGGCGAATACACTAAAGTCCTCGAGCGGCCTGTCGTGGTCACGCACTTGCTTTGTGGTGGGGATGTTGGTGGTGGGGTTGCGCCGGAAGAAGAGCCGGTGGAGGAGGAGTCGCAGGATATAAGTATTGCGGGGAGGAGCAGTAGGAGTAAATCGAAGGGCAAGGGGAAAGCTAAGGGTAAGGGTAAGCAAAAGGCTGGAGGGGAGGGTGCAGACGATGGTGAGGAAGGAGATGAAGTGGTAGAGACGGAGAAGATGAAGTATGCGCGGAAGTTCAATAAGACGGGGGAGGCGAAGATCATGATGGTCTGGGAGGAGTGGTTCTGGGATTGTTTAGAATTTGGCGGTACGCATCTCTTCCTCCCCTTCCTCTTCCCGCTTTCTGGCACGCTCCAACCATAGTACTCATATCCCCTCCTCACAGGCCGCTTCCCCGAATCAAACTACCTAGTCCACCGCCCCCGACCCCCCCGTAAACAACCCCCCACCGCACCCACCGCACCCGCACCCCCCCTCGCAGCCTCCCTCCCTCTCCCTCCTCAACTGCCACCGCCACAGCAGCAAGCCGATCCAACGACCGACGCCCTCGAACAATTCGATCTCGCGCCTTCCCAGTCACGACGTTCTGCGAACGATGCATACCTCGCTCCGCTTGGCTCTGCGCTCCTCGGTTCGAGAGGGTTCAGGCATGAGGGAAGGACGGTCATGAGGGTTGATAGTGGTGGCGGTGGTGGGGCGGGAGCGGGGGTAAGAGGACTTCCGAGTGAATCTCGGGGTTTGGTGGGTACGAGGTCGACACCGGCGTTAGGTGGTGGTGGTGCTGGTGGTGCTGGTGTTGGCGGTGGGGAGGGAGAGATCATAGAAGTAGGAGGCGTAAAAAGCGCCGCCGGTATCGAACTGGCAAACTCGACCAAAACGAGCCAACAGACAGGAAGGTGGGACGCACCGGAGATGAAGAAGCGGAGTGCGCTACATACGTTCTCTAGGGCGAATTCGTTCGCTCCGGTCGGTTCGTTCGCCGCTGGCGCTCCGTCTGATGAGTTGGGTGGGACTGGTGTGGTTGCGAGTAGAGCGCCGTTGAGGAAGAGTTTGACGGCGGCGGTTTTGTTTGGGCGGGGGAGGGAGAAGGAGGGATCGGCGGGGCCGTCGAGGCTTACGCCTGGGCCTGGTCTTGGTCTCGCTGCCGTTCCTGGTCCAGTATCCGCGGGGGTGTTCAAAGGGAAGAGGTTCCGCGTGAGAGGGGAAGCGAGGAGCGAGAGAGTGAGAGGGGCGATTGAGGGGGCGGGGGGCGTTTGGGTTGAGGGAAAGCATGATGCCGACGATGAGGATGAGGAGGATGGGGAGGGGAGGTGTGATTATGTGGTAGTCAGGCTTGCTAGGTTCGTCCTCGTCTCACTCCATCCACCAACGTTCAGCACGTCGATATTCATTGCTGATCCTGATTTTATTTTCGATGCTCGCAGTGGAAGCACCCTCTTCCGCGCCGATCCCTCTCCTTCTACCCGTCTCAGATACAGAACCGAATGCTGGCTCGAAGCCTGTCTTGCACAACAGCGCATCTGTGAGCCAGAGGAACATATCGCGTATGTGCCTGTGCCTGTACAGGGGCCCTTGAGGGTGCGCAAGCGTCAGAGGCAGGTACGGATCGGAGGATATGCGCAGGGGGACGTGAGTAATTGGGAAGAAGAGATGGGCGAGGTGGACGAGGGGGTGAGGGCGGTGGTGAAGCTCAGTTCTTCGGGACTGGACGCGGCGGAGGATTTGTGGCTGAAGAGGCTGGTGAAGGCTTTGGGTAGGTCTTGAGTTCTTTTTTGACTCCGTTATTCTATCACTTGAGAGGGACTGGTGATCGTGTACTGATCTGTGGGTTCGATTGTAGGGATAACGCATTCGCCTACGTTTACGAAGCATTGCACGCATCTTTTGTGTCCATCAAGGACGGGGGCTAAGTTCGAGAAGGCCGGGGAGTGGGGCGTTCCGATTGTTGATTGGGGGTGGGTCGAGGAGGTGGTGAAGACGGGGATTGTCCCGCTGACGGCACGGGAGAGTATGAGTGTGGAAAAGGAGGAAAGTAAGGGGAAGGGGAAAGAGAGGGAGAAGGAAAGGAGTATCAAATCGAAGGGCAAGGGAAAGGAGAGGGCTGTCGAAGTGGATGCGCCGGTGGATACGGATGTGAGGATGATGGATATCACTAATGGTGCGCGTCTTTCTTGGCCAATTTCAAAAATCCAACTAATGACTTGAACTTCATTCATAGGTCGCAGCTCTTCACCTGCTCTCCACCCACCGACCTCAAGCCCAGTGCCACCGCCACACCTTGACTACCAGGATCACGTCGAACCCGAGCCCGAGTCATTCTTCGCACATGAGTTCGAACAACAGCAACAAGCACAAGCACAAATATCCCCTGATGACTCTGAATTCTTCAAGCCCAACGGTTTGTTAGGCACCACACCCACACCCAATCCCAATCCCAATGCCGTCCCAGCTCTTTCGCCCGTCCCGCAAGCTCCACCTCGAAGTCAGACCCTTCCACCTCTCACGCCTTCCAACCCCCACCTCGCACCCGTTGATGATGATGCCGCCGAACCGGAACCGGAACAAGACTACGTCCCCTCCTCGTCCCCTCCCCAAGGCACGCCTCTCGACGTCAGAGTTCCCTCCTCCGCCACTCCTTCTCCCATGAAGATACCATTGGACAAAGGGAAGGGCAAAGCGACGGAGATCTCGAGAGAAAAGACGAAGGAGCAGATCGGGGTGTCGACGGAGACGGCGAGGGCGTTGCAGGAGAGTTTGACGAGTTTGTTGGGGAAGAGGTCGGTGGGGAGTATGGAGGATTTGGTGGAGAGTGCGGGAGGTGTTGCGGGTGAGAGTGTCGGTGTTGGTGTTGGTGCTAATGGTGCTGGTGCAGGCGGGCAAGCTGCAGGGGGGATGAGAGCTGGGAAAAGGCCGAGGCCGAGGAGTAGAGGGTCAAGGGTATGTTTATTTTTTTCTCCATCGTGCTCGTAGCATAAAACACCCATCACTCATATATTGCTCCCCCAGTCAAGACAAGGTTCCGCAAACAACGTCTTCGGCAAAGACGCACCGGCCCCACCGCTCGACGACCACTTCGACCTGCACGCCGAATCCTACTCTTTCGACCCCGATATTGCCATGGCCGGCAATCCAGAAAACGACGACGACGACGAGTTGAACTTGAAACCGGGACAGGTGTTGGGTGGTGTGATTCCGGTGTCGAGGGCGGCGGGGCGAGGAGGGGATCATGATGGGAGTGTGACGCTGGTGAGGTATGAGGATCCAGAGCAGAGAGACGAGAGGAAGAAGTTGATGAGTCTTTTGGGGGATCCGGTTAGTTCGATGGAGGCGAGTGGGAGTGGGGTGGGGAAGGTCAAGGGCGGGAAGACGGTGGATGCGAAGAGGGGGAGGAAAGGTGGGAAGAGGGCGGCTGGGTTTTGAGAGGGGTTGTCTGAATCTGTGTTGGCGGTAAAGCGAGATTTGAATCATGAAGAGAGACTGGGAGGTGGGCAGGTGTTTTTGTTTACTTGTTTGTTTCTGTGGGGACACGATAACTATGTCAGGAATTTAGAGCATGTACGTTATCTTTTCGCTAAGTATGTCAGGGTTCAGTTATCGATTTGTTACATGGACGGCCAAGGAAGCACTGATGATACTCTCTTCAAGTTCGACCACTGACGATTTCGATAGTGTGGCGGTGGCACCGACGATGTAGCCAGGGCAGAGCTGGCTCACGCGTTAGGGCCGAACTTGAAGCTTTTAATTCGATTGTGTTCCTCCTTTTCTTCTGGTCCGCGCTGCTAAGTAGTACCATCGGACCGCTGTATTGCAAGTTGAAGAGACGGAGGTAGCCGCGCAGCCGTCACATACACCCGCTTTAGAGACTCGGTTACCAGTCTGAGATTCTACGCGTGAAGACGTGTCATACGCTCACGAGCTGGAGTTGAACCAGCCTATCATCGAAGACATCAAACGAAACGACCCGGCAAAAAACACCTACGGTCGCAGTCGATCTTCTACTCAAGCTATCAGAGGTCTGCACTGATGCGTCTTCATACACAGATGATATCTAGTACCCCTATTTTCTAACATGCTTAGAAAGGACAGTTCCTTGAGCACGGAAACGGAACGTCTCATCATCCTCTGAGTTAGTGGCATCACACCAGCATGTCTGAATACATTTTGCGCTGCTGCGGAAATATACCAGGCACTTCGAAGATAGACTCTGTGCACTGACTCTGGTCAAATGAAGCAAATTCGATGTTTCGACTATCGATGACTTGCTCTGTCCTCGCGGCCTGAGTGGCTCGACTAGTACTCATTGCGAGCTTTGTTTGTGCGTGATCGTTTGCGACGGGAAAAAATCGACCTTGCATCGACGGGCGAGTATCATGACAAGAGACAAGGCTTTGTATTCAGATCAGTGAGATTCCCAATTGGTTCCTGCCTGCGGTCAACACTGATATCGTCATTGTGCAAACAGTAGGTATGGATTGTTCCAATCATGTTTGGTATTACGGACCATCATCAATCCCAATCGTGGTTATGCATACGAACTCCGTAGAGATAATGGCCCACCCTCGTACCCTCTTCGTCGTCTTCATTGAAACGGTATTCAACCCCCCTTGATAAGCAAACGTCCTCCAGCACTCCAACGCTCACATCAAACTCTGGCATATGTTTCCCATAATTTCCAGCAATTACATTTAACTGCCTCAAGCGTGGCAACGACCCTTCCGACCGAAGCACTTGGAGGAGTACCGCCGCTTCATCGTACCATAATCCATACGTCAGCTTCTCCAGTGCTCGATATCCAGTTATGAAGTCGATAGGCGGTATGTGTATCGAGGTCGTCCTGGCGAGCCTCAATGCTCCCATCTCTGGGGGAAGCACCTCGCTCATTGACTCCTCTGACCACATCCAAGTTGAACCGACGTTGCTCTGCCCATCAAGATCATCGTCGACCTTGTAGACCACTCGCAACTCTGTAAGGGAGTACGACCATCGTCCCAACGCGCTTCGTAGAGAGCTCGCCGTGAACGCCTCATCAGGCTGACCAGCGAGAACGAAGAGGCTCTCCAGGTTTGGGGCGATTATTGACAGAGCGATGATATGAATGTCTTGGAGGTACTGACAGCGGAAGCTAAGCTGTCGGAGTCGCGGGCAGGCGTTGGTCCTGATGGACAGGGCTGGAGGAGGTTTCAGGCCAGCAAAGTGATCCGATTCACCTAAAACTTCTTCGGTAAAGACACTGTCTGTGAATATTTCGTGATCTTCATCTTCCCCTGCGCAAGTGATTCCCTCCCAGATTTCCGCCTTGCCAATCGCCTCGTCTTCAATCAACACGGCTTCTATGTTGGGCCACAATTGAGGCATGTTCAAGAAGTCCTCCATTCCCGCGAGAGAGTAGCCCGTTTTGTGCGAAAGTCGCACACTTTTCAACTCCGCCTTCCCCCTCATTGCTTCCACCAGTCCCTCTAGGCTGTTTCCTCGCGAGTCACTGGCGCTGACCCAACCCGAGAGGTCCAACACCTCTACTCCACCACAACGCCTGATCACTTCTGACAGCTGTTCCGTTTCGACGGTGTTACACCAAGGCGAAGTAAAGTGAAGCTCTCGGACGATGGACGCGAGATATGGGTTGTTCTGAACGGCGTGGAGAAACGTGGTCGCTTTGAAATATAGGCGTAGGAGACCATGTTTGCTACTGGGGGAGAGGTAGACGCTCTTATAGAGTTCGTGCGTGGCGACGGCGTGCAGAGACTTGCACACGAGCGAGAGACGAGGAAGGACTGGGTTCGGGTGGGATGCGGATGGACGAAAGTCCTCGCACATAGAGATAATATAGAGTAAAGTTTCGTTTGGGAGGGAGTCCATGCTAGGCCTTGCAGTGGTCATGATACTGTGTGATTAGATATACGTCAGCCAAGCGCTCTGTCTTCATTCCTGAAAAATCGTGAGCAGACATAGACTGTACATCGTCGGTGCATACGCATGTCAATGGCTATGGGTGACTGTCCTAGATCGTCATCATTGCCCAGCTCGCAAGGGGCGATGTTTCTATCGATAGGATAGCAACACGTATCTCGAGTAATCTTTTACTCCACAACGTCGCAGAGAATGTTAACACACGATTCCCATGAACGGCAATGCACACCATTCGAAAGCGGCGTTGGAAGATAGAGATCTGCGTCGATGGAGCAGTGACACTCAATAGCGGTGATTCGCGTGAAAAGAAGGGAAATTTCTGCATCACTTCATCTTGGACTGACTCGTAGTGGTCGTATTTTACTTGTTGTGTGACTGTCGATGCACGAGCAGCCAGGTTGGAGACCACAACGGTGTCCAGACCCCAGCAGACGACCAGTGCCAGAGATCCTCAGTCAAGAGGGCAGAATCTATGGAATCACCTTGTGAAGAGATTAGTGTCCTGGACGAGTCTGTGAAAGATGGAAATGAGATCGCTTATATCAGCCTGAGGCTCTGAGCAGAAGTGATCCCACGAAGCGCCACACTTTCTGAGAGAGTTCAATCTCCGATGAAACATTCGGTGCAGGATAACTTGAATTTCTTTTTCTCTCACTCAGCTCGCCCCCATTTCTCAGCGCTAACTTCCGTAGAAAGACATTCATCATATGAGTATTACAAATTCATAGCCCAGATCGTAAATCCCTCGCCAATTGCAAGGATGATCATCATCAAACGGTCGACCGTCTCAGCGGAAGCACCATCCGTTCTCCATGCCAGCACTCGCCATCTGGGCTTTGCTGAGGCAGACCCGAGTCCCACCGCTCTCGCAGTAGTAGGCGTCACCGGAGAAATTAATCTTGCAATTATGCGACGACGTGCGAAACTTTGAGCGCGTGGGGTCACACCTTATAAGTAGTTTGCAATATTAGAGAGGCTCAGTATCCGTTGCGAGGTGGAATAGATAGCAGTGTTTAGCATACCCTTTCTTCACGAAATCATTATTGAGCCCGTCTACCTTGCAGTTGATCGCCTGAACCTAAAAATGCACGAGTGAAAAGTCACTTAGAAAACGTCTATGAGTAGATGCGAATGAAGAAAACGTACGAAGACGTCGTCCTCCAATGCCTTCTCTTGTGTCAAGAGCTGTCCCTTGGCGAGTTTGTCAGAGTCCGTGCAGCCTGACCTGCTGTCGAGCTCAGTATGGGACGATGCGGAGGCGATGGTGAAGAAGAGGAGCGCTGCACAGAGGTAGATAGGTTTGAGTGCGAACATGATTGCCTGGGTGGATGGAGCGGGCAGTAGTAGACGCGGTATCGCACCTGTATATAAGAATTTCGTTGGCCAACGATAGTAATAGCAACGTACAAAGGTGAGCCACATTATTCCGTTCTGCGAACCGAAGTAAATAGCGTCAAGTTCCTTCCCGGCAATGTAAGAAAGAGGAAAATGAATATTGGATGAAGCACAAGCGAACAGTGACCAGTTGTCATTGAACATTTCGGATGAAAGCTTACATATGAGTAGAGTGTATCAGACCGTACGGATTGCGGCTCTATGAACGCACTGAACCAGTCTTATAAGCGAGGAGTGTATACTGAAGATGCTCCGAGGCGCAATCTGAGTGCGCCGTGATAAATGATTATGAGCCAGCAGGATATGCTCGGAGGAGCTTCAGTGCATCTTCTTAGGCATGTTCTCAGCGCCCCAGAGTCGGCCCGAGCGGTGTGCCAGCCTCATATATAGTCAAGCTTATTATCACTCGGACCCTCTCGCTCCTCATTCAGAACCTAACAACAACAACCACACAAGTTGAAAGAATACAGTGAAGACACCGTACGTACCGTTCCAAATCTTCAGTCATAGGCTCAGAGTTGACACACTCAGTGTACCGCAGACGATGACAACTGAGATCACAACCCCAAGCTCTAGGAGCGCGCAATGGCCGTTCAATGTCGCCAGCTCTACTGGTGCTGAAAATTCAACTCTCCTACACGCTCTTCTCGCTGCAGAGAGAATCGACGAGCTCTCCGACGCCGAGAATCACACCGCCGTCGAGCGTTATCTCAATTCAGAGGGCAAGGTGGATGAACGGGGAAGAACGACCGCAGGAGTGATGTTTTGGTTGTACCCGACAGGTCTGAAGGGTCCGTACCACGTCACGGATGAGGGGAAGACGGAGCAACACGGGACTCTGATTACCGTGGAGAGCGGCGTGCTCGTTGAAGAAACGATGAGGAAGCTGAAGGAGGTAAAGGTGGACGGAATTGCGCATGAGCATATCGGCGTCGCTTGACCAAATTACTCGTCGTGCTTTTCGATGCATCAACAAGTGGAGTAGTCTTTAGGTGGCATTGTAGGAATTAACGAACGTAGTGGCATATGCATACCACACACGGAGACCGACACTCTACATTTCCTATGGTACAGTTGATGCACATAGCCTGGTGGAATGAGATTTTTTCCAGAGTCTCTGGAGAGGAGGACCAAACACCGAATGGAGGGCAGTGAAGTCAAACCTGGAAGGTACATCAGCTACCTATGTGAGGCTCTCCAGACTTGATCTCAGCTCCTGATACGACACGGCCAGTCCGCTTTCTAGACCACATCTAGCAAAGGCAATTATGGAAGCTCAATGATGGTCGAGCATCGTCAGTGGGTCTAGTAGCATCATGTCGATGCGCTGTCACTCCAAACCAACGACATCAGACTCGTGAGGCTTGCCAGAGGCTTCCACTCGACTTCACTCAGAACCCCAGCCTCCCACGATATTCTGATAGCTTAACGGTAGAGTTCCAGGTCGAGATTTAAGCTACCATATTCAGATAAACAAAATTTGCCTGGAGGTGCTGCCAGTGGTTCGAGTACAGCGAGGCGGAGGGCGTGCCTTGCAGCTGTTGAATTTACTTGTAGTGACCGTGACGTTCGTTGGTCCTCTTCCGGCAAGCACCCGGTGCGAGCGAGTATGGGGGAAAGGTTGTTATTTGGCTGTTAAGCTAGACGTTCTTTCCTCACCGCAGTATTCTAGGAATCGGATTCCGAGTCTGCTGTCCTGGCCATGGTGGTTAGGTGTCACAGTGCCACAGTCACGAACGCGTTGGATCACGCCGAGACGCGTCATGTGACTGTGACCGTCGCGTCTTCGCCGCCGGCAACTAGAAGCAGTCGCGACTCGCTGATCCTTCCAGTTTCCTTCTTTCTCTCTTTCCTCTTCTCTCTTCTCCCCCTTCGTCGCAGTACATCTCATGTCTGACTCCGGGCTCAGAGTGTTTTCTGAATTTTTTTCTCATCAACGCAAGCAGAGTCGTTTGATGAACCAACCGAGGACGTGCTGTGGATTATTTCGCTCAAGCCTTCAGGCGTAGTCTTCAAAGCGGTGAGATTTTTTCCATGTCTGCCGTGCGAGCGATATTACGTGCCTCTAGTCCGTTCATCGGCTTTCCTATCATACCAGACTCCATCATATGTGAGCACGATCTTCGAACCCTGTATCAATGTCTCTGAGTTCTCTGTACGAGCGGTGGAGGACGACATTGTACCAAGTACTGTCTGGCATCCAAAACAGACGCATATATGCTACTCAGAGCGTATACAGGGATATATGTCAGACAAGTATAATACGTGTGCCCTCGATGCATATATGCACTCTAGACTTGATTATTCTTGGGCGAGTCTCGGGGAAGTGCTCCTGTCTACTGTTTTCCGATAATGTCGTATATTACGCACCCTCAGACTTTGAAGTCTATTCTGATCAGCGCATCCTAAGATGCACTGATACTCCTTGGCATGTCTTCGCAGCCTGGGCCATGACTGCATTTGAACTTCACCGCAAAAGACAGCCTGCCTAACCCATCCAGACAATGTGAACAGGCTCCAATATATGTTGTGCTTTTCCCTTGAGCTCCTCTATGCTTGTATGCGGCCCGTAGGTTCTTGTGCAGGTACATCCTGTTGGTCAGTGCTAGGTTAATGCTTTGCGTGGCGCCGCTGTGGTCACTCGGGGTCCTCGGATTGATACAATAGCAGATCTTAGATTAGGTTCCACGACCCTCGCACGAATTCCGTTGCGTCATCCATTTCCGTCCACTTTCGCCACTTCGCCACATCTCACGGCCTCGACGCCCCGTCGAAACCACATTCCAGGCATCCCGTCGAACCGAAAACGAACGCAGACCTTCCCCATCGATTCTAGGACTTCATATAAATGTTCGCCTGGAAGCCCAGCAACCCGCCCCAGATCAAAATTGTACGAAATTCGATGCAGATGGTAAAGGAGTCAGCAGATCAGCGGGCGTCAGCAGACGCTATGCGCCGAAAGCGTCGATAAATTTCCGAATCCTTTCCCTGTGCAGCTGACTCTGCGTGCCTCTAATTTTGAGGACGCTCGAGCCCAATTGGTTTGCGAAGTGGTACAAAACCGCGCGGGCGTCGAGCGACGAGCGAGCAATTGCTGCCCGTTTGGTTCTTCCTGTCCCTCGTCGACTGTCTGTCTCTCCGTGTGCCTCTTCGTTTTCTCGAGACTCGGACTTGTCGACACGGCATCGGTACGCTATATTTACCCACAGTCCGTTGCTGAAGCGAGGCTGACGTAGATCGGGTATATAAGACCTACGGACGCGTCTGACTTGCTCGACGGTCTCCGCCGAACGAACCCACCTTCGTTTCGTTTCAAGGACACACCATCCACGCTCGTTCATCCCTCAGAGCATCAATCATGGCATCCTCTTTTCCTCGTCTTCTCTCCGCTCTCATCCTTTCTCTGTCTCTCTCCTCCACTTTCGTCTCCGCGGACCTGACCACTGGCATACCTGACACCGCGCCTGCCGGATATGAAGAATGGACCTCACCCATCGTCCAACCCGCAAAATCCATCACAGGCGACGGCGGCTGGGGCCCCGCATACGCTAAAGCCAAGGCCTTCGTGAGCGGCTTGACCCTGGAGGAGCAGGTCAACTTGACCACTGGTGTCGGTACGACGGCGCGGTGTGTTGGTAATACGGGCGAAGTGACGAGATTGGGCTTCACGGGATTCTGCCTCCAGGACTCTCCGTTGGGAGTTCGAGACACGGACTTTGCGAGCGCCTTGTGAGTTATTTCCACTCCACGCATTTCCGCGTGTCCACCCCGCTGCGCATGCATGACTTGTGCATATGCCTGCACTCTGATGCGTTGTTCATTTCGCTAACATCCCAACTATTCCTGTTCCTCATTCTGTCTTTCTCGACCTTAGCCCCGCCGCCATCAACGTCGCCACGACATGGGATACATCGCTCATCTACAAACGTGGAAAAGCTATGGGTGAGGAACACCGCGGTAAGGGCGTCAACGTCGCTCTTGGGCCCATGACGAACCTCGGACGCGTTGCAGCCGGCGGGAGGAATTTTGAGGGTAAATTTTATCTCTCTCTCGTATGGGGAATTAAGGATTGTGACCATGCAATGAACGCTGACCGTTATTGCTGTGGTACAGGTTTTGGCGTCGACCCTTTCCTCAGCGGTGTCGCATCCAGGGCGACCGTGGATGGCATGCAAGACGCTGGAGTCATTGCTTGCGTCAAGCACTAGTGAGTTCTGCTCTTATTTCGTCCTGTTTTCTCTCCCGTCGGCGACCCGAGGAGCCCGCAAGGCTGGTGTGGTGGGTGCGTTGGGGTTTGGAGTGGGTACGAGTTCGATCTTTCGAGCTCTGCGCTGGACAGGGGCTGACCCCCCTGTGCGAACGGAGGAAGCTCGGTGTTGGAAAGCGGGGAAATTTGCAATCGGTCTTCGATACCGACGAGTGGCGTACAGTGGCGTTTGTGATTCGTGTGGCCCTTGTTGGGCATGTCAGTCCGCATTGCGCCACGAATCGCGTTGAATTCCTCGTCTCGAGTTATTCTGATCGTGTTTTCCTCCTATTTTCCTTTCCACCCGCCCGAATAATATTAATTATGCGTAACACTCATCCAGCATCGGCAATGAACAAGAACACTTCCGCGGTGGATCCGAAGCCGCTCAAGTCTACTCCTCCGACATCGACGACCGCACGATGCACGAGCTTTACGTCTGGCCCTTCGCTGAAGCCGTCAATGCCGGTGTCGGTTCCGTCATGTGCAGCTACAACAAGGTCAACCAGACGCAGACGTGCCAAAACTCGAAGATCATCAGTGGAATTCTGAAGGTACGATCCTTCCTATCTGACCCTTATTGTTGACGTATTCTGATCATGTTGGTCGTACGAATAGGAGGAACTCGACTTCCAAGGCTTCGTCGTCTCTGACTGGGCAGCCATGATCAACGGCGTCCAACCCGCGCTCGCCGGCACAGACATGAACATGCCAGGTTTCATGGCCTACGGCCAGCCCGACGAACCCAACCCCGACCAGACTAATTCATCCTGGTGGGGTTCTGCGCTCATAGAATCGGTCAATAACGGTTCCGTTCCCGCTGCTAGAGTGCAGGATATGGTCGAGAGGACGATGGCGGCGTATTTCAAGTTGGGACAGGACTCCGAGGATTATCCGGAGGTGAACTTCAGCTACTTGACCGAGGAGACGGAGTTGAACGGCGTGGTTGTGAACGAGCATGTTAAGTGAGTGTTTTTTTTTCCTTCCCTTGTCGTTTTGGAGAGTACGTTCGGTTTGACTGACTGTTTGGTGCGATATAGTGTCCAAGGAGACCATTACAAAGTCATCCGCGAGATCGGCGCGGCGAGCACTGTGCTCTTGAAAAACACTAACGATACCCTGCCTCTCAGCGTTGACAAAATTAAGCGTGCGTATTTTGTGTCAACCCCTTCTTCAAGGGTCGTGCCGTCGTTGACCAGCATTTTTTTACTTGCAGGCCTCCTCATCGTGGGTTCCGATGCCGGTCCCAACCCTGATGGGCCCAACGGCTGCAGCGAGTACGTCTACTAGTTCATGCTTTACCACGTCCTTGATGAGCTCATCGTGTGTGTAGCCGTGGTTGCGATCAGGGTACACTCGCTATGGGCTGGGGATCTGGAACTGCCAACGTCAGTCTTCTGTTTTCTCTTCATCCGAGTAGAGGGAGGCTTACCTCGTGAGGCGCGACTCTAGTTCCCGTACCTCATCGACCCCTTCTCTGCCATTCAAAGCTTCGTTCATAGCCAAGACCCGACGACCATGATCGAGGCCATCTTCAGTGACTTCAACCTTGCTCAGGTCAACACTGTGGCACCTCTCGCAGACGTCTGCCTTGCTTTCGTCAATGCCGATTCTGGCGAGGGTTAGTCTCTTTCCTCAATGAATCCGTTGATCTCCTTCGAGCTCACTGGGTGTGTGTGATCAATAGGCTACATCACCGTCGACGGCAACGCCGGTGACCGTAACAACCTCACTCTCTGGCACGGCGGCGAAGCCCTCATCAACGCCACCGCATCCAACTGCGCCAACACCATCGTCGTCATGCACGTCACAGGCCCCGTCCTTATGGAATCCTGGATCGATCATCCCAACGTCACCGCAGTCCTCAACGCTGGTATTCCCGGTCAGGAGTCCGGTAATGGATTGGTGGACGTTCTGTTTGGTGGTGTGAACCCGAGTGGAAAGCTGGTGTATACGATCGCGAAGGCGAGGGAGGATTATCCCGCGGATGTACTTTATGACAGCGATATGGATGTGCCGCAGATCGTGTATAATGAGACGTTGAACATCGATTACAGGTGGGTTCATTCTTTTCTAGATCCGTTCTTCGTGCAAAGGCTGAATATTTGTTGTGTTGTGCAGGCACTTTGACGCGAACAATATCGATCCCCGCTTTGAGTTCGGATTTGGTCTCTCGTACACCACGTTCGAGTACAATGGCCTCAACATCGTTCCCTCGTCGGGCCACAGCCGCAGACAGGAGGCTTCTTCGTCCATTTCTGCTCTTCCCTTGTCCCCCTCAGCCATCTCATCCTCTCCGTCGGCCTCAGCATCGTCTTCGGTAGTTTCGACGGACAGCGTCGTCACCTCCACGGACAGCTCATTCTCTTCTGCGAGCGCTACCGCTATCTCTACCGACACCTCTTTCTCCGCCAACGCTACGACCTTCTCTGCCACCTCGACGTCCTCATTTCCCAGCAACGTCACCTCCACGCCAACTCTCTCCATCTCCGCTTCCGCTTCCGCCTCCCTCTCCCTCAACGCTTCCTCCACCGGCTCTGCCCCACCCGCCATCTCCTCCCCCGCCCAAACCAACCCCGGCGGCCCAGCCGCCCTCTTCGAACCCCTCTTCGAAGTCTCCTACGCTATCACCAACACCGGCAAAGTCGACGGCCACGAAGTCTCACAGCTATACCTCTCTTTCCCGGCCAGTGCCGGTGAGCCCCCGAAGGTGCTGAGAGGGTTCGAGAGAACGTGGATCGAGAAGGGGACGACGGAGAATGTGCAGTTGACGTTGAGGAGGAAGGATGTGAGCGTGTGGGATGTGGTTAGTCAGGAGTGGGTCGTTCCGGAGGGGGCGTTCACGGTTGGGGTTGGGGCGAGTTCGAGGGATTTGAGGTTGACGGGGACGTTTGTCCCGAGTGGTCACTAAGCGTGCCAGGTCAAACTCAGAGGACTGGACTATTTTGCTGTGTTGTGTTGTGTTGTGTTGTGTTTTCTGTTCGAGTGCTGGTGATTGCTTGTGATACATTACCGAACTGATTTTTTCTTGATGCTTAGTACTCTTTTCCCGAGACTTGTCTACTCACGAGTCCACAAAATGACAGACTCCTCGCCACTGGACTCTTCTCCCCTGATTAGCGACTCTCGTAGTAACATAACGCGATGAGGCCCCTGGACCTTCCGAATCCGTTCTTTCTAGTAACACCCAAAAAGCTGCTTCGTCGCGATGTCCATTGTCCATGGTGTAATGCGTACGAATGACTACTACTATTCCCAGTGTGTGTGTGCTCGTAGTCTTGTCATTTGGCTTTGACTGTCGGCCAGCTCTTTCTTGGTAGCGGACCCCGTCTTGTTTTTGGACGGTGATACGTACTTATAATGCATGCTCGCTCCAGACTGCTTTATTTTAGTTGATGTCTTCCGTTCACTCAGCAATGCATCAGTGCCGAGGTGATTTGGACAATGTGCAGCTCGCCATCCAAAGACCAAAATGGACTGGCCCCCGAGTCGCTGCCCTGAACTTCTGGACAAGAAGGCAATGTGCATATTTGTGTCATCGACAGGTATGTGTCGTCCGAGTATCCGCCTATCTGAACCATGGACTCCTTACGAGCCCTTTCTCTTTCTATGATTATATGATCAGATTTATCTCTTCCACATCGACGCTCAAGGGCCAATGACGGGTGCCAGGGTGGCACGAACTTGGCGACCGCTCCGACGGTGAACTAGTTTATAGACCACCAGTGGTAGTAAGCCCACGAGGTTCACAAGAAGTCGAAGGGTTCGTCGAAAATTTCGAGTTGGAATCTAAGGTTGCCAGCAATGCCGCGGACGAACTTCGCGACTTGATGCTTCAGAAGATTCTACCACTGGAAGTTTGCAATGAACCTTTTGGGAGGAACTAGCGGACGCTATTTTTCCTCATATGAAGGCAAGGAAATGATCATGAAGAGGGTGTCATGGGTCCTAGGGTAGAAGTGCTTGTCCCAAACAACCCAGAAGGAGTGGAGAGAGCACCCTAACACTCTCAACCACTTCCATCCAAGCCTCCCTGAGTCATACTGCAACTCCACCGCGTATGTTCGTTCAAGATCTACACCCTGGTCCAGACAACGTCTCATAAAATGCTTTTCGTCGGGAAGTAGAATGTCTCGACGTCATGACATTGATAACTTAGAACGCAGCTTCATACATGAAGATCCAACGAAGCGGTAGAACGCTATAATGAAATCATAGTTACACCTCCCCTCACCACCTAGCTATTCATAGATAACGTACAACATCTTCACGAAGTTCAATCCTCTCTACTTCTTCTTAACAAGTCATCAATGAGCACCGTCACTTCCACCTTTCAACTTCCCATTCTCATTCTCATTCGAAGGAGAGATGGAGAGATGGAAGGAGAAAGGATGGATCAATCGAGAACTGCGAGCCTGAGGCCTAGAGCACGCCGTCAGTCCGAACAGCACACTGCCCAAGATCATGCTTAATTAGGCCTTCCGCCTTCGGGAGGATATCCTACAACCGGTCATTCAAGCAGTCAGCTCGTGGACACAGTGATGAGGTGGGGGGATTCGACGAAGAGACATAGAAAGCGTGGGATTCGGCGAGGAAGGACGTACGAAGTCGAATATGCCTAGCGGGAGGGCGAGGGTGACGCATGCGTTTGGAGAGTCGACGACGGCGCCGACGTGGGATTCGACGGGGGCGGCGGAGAGGAGGAGGTCTGGAGCCAAAGCAAAGAGGAGAAAATATTGATTCTGGGTTAGCTTCGCCTCGTGTGATTGAATGGAGGCGAGGACTCGGATGTGGAGAGAAGGAGGAAGGGTAATGTCGGATGTGGAGAGAAGGAGGAAGGGTAATGGAGGACGTACACGATTGCTCGCGAGCTAGACCAATGTATATATGATATAATGAGTGATCTACGTTAGAGACGCGTCAAGAGGATGAGGAGTTACGCACTGAATCCGAGCTATATAACAAAAGCCCAGCATCAGAAACATTTCTTCGATAGAGAAACAAAGACAAGGATGAGTCAAAGCATACCTTCATGAGATACGCAATCGCGTTCAGCGCGGCCTGTTTATACGCCACCGTCGCATCCATATTATACTGCTTCCCGTCTCCATCTATGCAACCCCACCCCACCGCGAGAACGATATCAGCTTTCAACCAGCGGATAGAGGATATAAGAGAGGAGAAAAACGCACGGATGTCAACGCTGATGCCCTCGAATACGAGTTTGGAGGAGTACATCGGGTCGATGGGCGAGGGCTGTGTGCATCATCGCACAAACGGAGGGGGCCATAAGAAACACACCGCGCTCGAGGGCACGGGAGGAGAGAGACGTACGAGGAAGATGGGCTGCTTCAACGCGAATTTCTCCACTCCGCCTTTGATAATGGACGTGCTGAGGGTGATGATACCGGCCTACACATACACACACACGCAAAATCTTCCGTCAAACCCATTCCACCTTCCATCCAGATTGACTGGTAATGAGAATGGTAAGACGTACCATCTCGATAGCACCGCAGAACGATAGTTCACCCTGTTGACAGACGAGAGTGAGTGATTGACAGCGTTGTGTGTTGGGGGGTGAGATGGGACGGGACGTACATCACCCTGCGAGAAATGCAAATCTCCAACCGAGAGATTCGCCCCATCCACAAAGACGGGGAAATAGCACCGTGAGCCGCGCGAGAGGTTCTTGATCTGTATCGTATCCACCCACACACCCATATCCACACCCGCACCATCAGCACCACACCATTCGACTGAAGCGAAATTGGAAGACAAGAGCGTGGAAGGACGAGACGCACATCACAATTCCCACCATGTTCTCTCCCGGGGATCGTCCTCGCGCCCTCCGCCGCTATTTTCTTGGCAACTTCTTCTGGGAGGTTGTCTTGGTCTACGTATGCACCTGTCGGGAGAGGGGCGAACGCGACCGCGGGGACTGGGTCTGTTGTGAAGGGAGCCACAGTGGCAACGATCGCCACACCATAGTAGAGAATAAATTTATCAGCTCGATGTGTTCTCAGATCAAAGCCATCGTATAAGGATACGAGCGCATGGCTGGTCCGATACGTTCAGAAAGGTTCAGAAGAAGGAAAAAATACGCACCAACCCCCCCATTCTTCTCCTTCTCAACTCTAATCAGCTCTCCCTCGCGTTTATTCCACGTAGCGAGGAGCTCGGCGGACGGCGCGGTGCCGATGAGGCCGGGGTGGGAGACGCCTGCGAAGCGGACGCCCTGTGGGTGTTGGTGGAGGAGAGGGAGGGGTGTGTTGGATTAGTGGAGGAGAGGGAGGGGTTGGGTGAGTGGGATGTGTGGGTGGGTGTGAACAGGGTGAGCGGGTGAGGGAGAGTGGGAGTGAGAGTTGGAGTGGGAGGTTGGGGATGGGGTTGGAGTCAAGATTAGCGTTAGAGTTTTAACTCAGGTTGGGAAAGGGATGGGGGAGGTGGATGGAGGAAACGGCGGATTGGGGAGTGAGAAGAGGGGGGAAGTGAGCGGGGGAAGAGCGGCGACCGCTTCATAGGGGGGAAAGAGCGTAGGGGCGGACAGAGGGCTGCAGGGTAGACAGACGTACGGGAATATGACGAGACGTAGCATACACGCCATGGAAATCCCAGATCGCCTTCGCCGCGCGGGATTGGAACTCTTTCGCTGTTATTATTTGATGCCACCCCGAGCATGATCATGATCAAGATGGTCAGCAACACGAGGAGTATATATACGAGGAGACCGAGAGACGGTTTGCGGGAATTAGGGAGTAGGACTAGGAGTGGCGGGGTGTGGCAGTGACAGGACAAGAGATGGATGTACACACCGAAAAGTCCACCACCGTTATTCAGCTCGAAGATGCCCTGCTCGTAATCATCGTATTGAGTCAACCGCAAAGAGGAGAAAGACATGATGTGATGTCACGCACCGTATATCCCCACGGCATCTTCTCAAACGGCGTCACTATATAAAATTCATTTCAGCCCATCCATCTTCCTTTCTTCCATCCATCCATCCCCGCCCAACCCATCTCATCTCATCTCATCTCATTCCATCCCACCTCACCCAAACAAAGGAGTAGAAATGCAAAAAAGTGGAAATAAGAGGGAAGGAGCGAGAAAACAACGAACCGTCCAAAATATCCACAACAAGACAATCGCCCGGTTCGGCGCCCTCGACGGCCACGGGCCCCGAGAGGTTATGGATCTTGGTCAGGTCGACGTCGCGGATGTCGTCGCTGTCTGTTTTTTTTTGTGGGGTGGTAGGGGTGGTTTGGTGTTGGGGAGTTCGGTTTGGTGATGGAGCGGTGGTTTGGTGTTTTGGTGGTTTGGTGGTTTGGGAAGGGGGGTCACGGTTGTTGGGGGAGGGTTTGGTGACGGAGCGGTGTTTTGGTGTTGGAGCGTTTGGTGGGTAAGCGGTGGTGGTGGTTTGGTGTCGTTTTGGTGTCGTTTTGGTGTTGTGGTGTCGGTTTATTTGGCGCGTTATGTATACCCCGATGTGGACGTCGATGTGAAGGTAGAGGCGGATGTGAAGGTAGAGGCGGATGCGAAGGTAGAGGCGGATGTGAAGGTGGAATAGATTTGCACGGTGAACGTTAAGAGCGAAGTTCATTTTAATTAGTGAGCCAACGACGGTTCAGAAAACGGGGAGGGTAAGGACGAGACGTACTATCGTTGTTACCGATCTGAGCCCCCGTCCAGTCTTCATGGTCCCACACATGCGCCATACCACAGCCGTCAGTCTTCAATCAACAGGGCTCGGAAAACGGAAACCGGAGACGGCAAACGGAAGGTGGAAGGTGGAAGGTGGAGCAGGAGATGAAGAAACGCACCGACACATTGGATCTTGAACACCTCGCCCGGTTTAACAGTCGCGAACGGGGGGATATCGGGGCTTTTCGAGTGTCATCGTCATCACCAGATAAACGTTAAACAATCAATGGTCCACGAAGTACCAGTAATCAGTTGGGTGGGAATTAGGGAGGGAGGGAGGGAGGGAGGGAGGGAGGGAGCGTCGTGCTTACTGCCAGCGATTATGGATGCCCTGTCGATGAACCGTGAATCGTTAGCATAGCATTGACATAAGTTCGTGCAAGGACAGGGTGCGCAGGATGGAGTGGAGGGGGATAGGGGCTTCATGAGGAAGGACGCACTTTTTGTTGATCTGCGGGTCTGTACACATCCAGGCCGAACGAAGTTCATTCGCACAAAGCATCAAGAGGAGAGATGGAGACGGAGACGTACATGAAGGGATCGACCTGGTATCGGGATGGGAGGAAGTAGAGGTTAAGGATTCAGCTTCGTTGATTCAGAGGAAATGGATGGAAGGAAGGGATAGGATAGGATAGGATAGGATAGGATTATTATAAGTGCCCCAGCACACACCTCGACAACTGTACGATGAGGGATGGAGTTCGCTTTTGTCGCCATGTTCTCAGTAGCAGTATCAGTCTCAGTTCGTGCGACGAGGGTAATGTCAATAAGCAGACGAGCCAGACAGCCTGCGAGCAGATGTATACGTCGAGGGAAAGACTAGGAGCGGAAGCCCGTCGTCCCTGGTACTGATGTTATAGACTAGAAAGGAATAGAGTCACAGCGCCCACCGGCGAAGGTTCACACCATTGACAATGATTTGGGTCCGTGGATGGTGCTTATCGGAGAGGAGGCCGCTGAGAGTTATCTGCATCGGATTGGTACGCGTATCATCATGGGTTTGCTCGAGTCCGAGAGCTGATGATGTCAGTATTTCAGTAGAGAGGATTCCTCTTCTCATGCGCCGAGCGGGTGAGCGGGTGAGAACTGAGCCCAAGGTGAAATACAGGAAAAGCTTCAAGATATCGATGGTGCATGAGAGCTTGGGAGCTTGGAAGCTTGAGAGCGTCAAGAGAGATAAGACAGACTCGGAGGCCGAGCGAGATGGGAGGGTCAGGAGGGTTATAATAATTGTACGCAGCGACTATGAGTATTGAGGAATCAGGAGTTTTGTCTTGTGTATTTATACTTTTCGTATATAGAGTAATGATACCACAGAAGAGACTTGAGCTGAAGGCGTTCTCGAGATCGGTTCAGAAGGTGGTGGCAGGAGATAAGTTACAACATGAATACACGATAATATCGATGTTTCATGATACTCGGGGGTGTATATCCAGTCTGAGAGAACATAGAACAACACTATCCAGGCATCTATGTAGTCTTCTGCTGTCGTGTCTCGCCTGAAATGATGGTCGTTGCACAGAACAGGGGACAATTGCAGGTGGGTGGCACCGACGGGTGGCGAAGCTCGGGCCAGATGCAGCGACGTCAGAGGAACGAGGAGCCGGTTCAATTCTTTACTCAGACTCTCCGCCATCACCGACGACGACGACGACGACGACGATAATGTCTTCCTCTGCTTGAGATATCCTCGTCGGCCCTCAACCCAGTTACTCGCCATGCTATCATTGTCATAGACGACCCTGCGAGCTACGAGCGCACCCATCCATCCATCTCTCAATACCATTTCTTGCAAAGACGCCACACATACTTCCCTCCACCTTCCTCATTTCCTAACAATATCACTCCAGACGAACAAACACACACTGAAAGCCCTACCCAACCGACCATGGCGTACCAATCGCGCCCGGAGCCCATGAACGCCTCCCCCAACCACCCCAAAGTCAAAGTGAGCATCACGCTCTCCGATCCTACCTTCGTCGCGGGCGGAGCGGTGACGGGCAAGATGGAGATGGAGTGTAAGACGGATAAGGGGCTGGGTATTGGGATTATTATGGTGGAGCTGTTTGCTGTTGAAGGTCTGTTTATCCTTCTTTTTCGTTTTCTGGTTTTGGTTTTGGTTCTGTGTGTGATGGTGTTATCGCTCGGTTTTGTTTTTGTTTTGTTTTGAGATGGAATGTGAGCTATGCTTGGTGCGTCGTTGTGCGTCGTTGATCCTACCCAAGGCTTCAGCGTCGGAACTGTATACGCATACATTACATGTGTTGCATCTGAAATCCTCTCTGGAGGGGTCCATTCCGCGATGACAAACCTGCATGCGACGCTGTCGTAACAGGGTTGAATGTAGACATCCTCGAAAGACATCTCCCCTTTATGACCATGCTATCACGCATTGAGTCTTCCTTCTCGACAAACCCAGTTTTTGAGCCTTGTGTGATCCGTTGTGTTATCGCACACGATGGATCCGCTTTAAACCTCGACTACTCTTTCGAAAATCCTTCGTGCCCCACACGACTGTCCTCCCAAGTGCTGTCATTTTATCCTTTAATGTTGTGATTGGAGTACTTGGCAATGATCTAGTTGAGGGATGATCGTCCCATTGGGTTTCGATTTCTCGCCACACTCTCCTCCCTCACAGGACCACATACTAACCCTCCACATCTGCTCATGCACAGAACTAACCTCCCGAGACCACTCCGCGACCTCACACTTCCTGCACTCTCGCCGGCTTTTCCAAGGTCCCGGTTTACCCCCTTCCAACGCCGTCCTGCCGCACCCTCTCCCTCTTCCTGCTCTCCCCTCCTCGCCACCCAACGCTTCTACACCCTACGATCCCGCCCTGACAGGCGAAGAACCCGCCCCCCTCCCAGCACACTACTTCCCCTCCCGCCGCGGCTCCACCACCTACCTCTTCAAATTCCCACTCCCGCCCAGCTCGCCCTCTTCCATCGAATTCGGGAAAGGATTGGCGAGGGTGAGGTATGAGGTTAGGGCGACGGTGGGGGTTGTGTGGAAAGAAGAGAGGAGGTTGGTCGTGGTGAGGAGGGAGGTGGATGTTGTGGAGGGGTTTAGGGAGGTGCGGGGTGGGATGGAGATGGGCATAAGGGAGGGTGGTGAACGCGATGAGGGAGAGGATGCGGATGCGGATGGGGAAGGAGGAGCGAGATTCGGGTTGATGGGGAGGAAAGAGCCTGAAGGCGTTGTCGTGGGCGAACATGGGAAAGTATGGGTGCACGGGCGGGTCGTGGGCGGGTTTATCATTGCGGGGGAGAGCGCGTGTGTGGAGTTGATGGTGAAGAATCATTCGGGGCGGAAGGTGCGTTCATACCCCATCCACCATCCACCACGTATCACATATCCACCAACATTCGGGTGGTCGGCTTGGCTAACAAACGTGGTCGTTGTCTGTTATCGCGTACACGAACAGAACACATCCCTCTCCCTCGCACTTACTCGACACCTACACCTTCCCCGCCTGGCCTCCTCTTCTTCTTCATCTTCCCCGAACCCACAAGCGCAATCACAATCACAGTTGCAAATCTCAGATACGCTCATGACCGTGAATTTTAAAGGACAGGATTACGTAGCGCAGCCAGGCACGGAGGGACTCGCGATGCTCGTTTTTGATGTACCGGGTGGGGCGAGGGGGGTTAGGGGGGGTTTGAGGGTTAAGGGTGCAGGGGGTGGTCAACGCGGGGTGCAGGAGGATGGGGAGGATAGCGTGCAAGAAGAAGAGGAGGAGGATTTCGTGGTGGTGAAGGCGGGAGGAGGGAAAGGAAAGGGTATGGTGAAAGGGAAGGGGAAGGGGATGGGGAGAGAGAAGGGAAGGAAAGAGGCGTTGTTTGAGGTGAGGTGTATGTTGGTGGTTAGGCTGGGGATGCCGCTTGGCTCGTGAGTGCCTCTTTCTTTCTTTTCTTCTCGGTCCACGATCTGTTTTCGTTCCGCTTTAGTTGGTGTTGATGTTGACGTTGAGGCTGACGATGGCTTTGTATCTGTGTTCTTGTTGGTGTTGTGGTGTGTACGCGAATACAGGAAAGACATCTCGCTCGAAATCCCCATCACGGTCTATCACCCCCTCGCGCTCCCGCCTGTCCCTCCACCCTTACCTCTCCCCAGCCCGAACACGCATATGTACGACCTCGCTCGTTCGCCTGGGCCTTATCCACCTACGTCTCCTGGACCTTACCAATCTACGCCTACGTCTCCCCCTCCCGGACCTTACGCGTACCCACATCAACCTATGTCTCCTGGGCCTTACCAGCCTACGTCTCCCGCGCTATACCCATCTACGTCTCCCGCCCCCGGACCCTACCCATACGCACTCCCCCCAACATCCGACCGCGTCGCATCACCCTACCCGAACGGTTACCCTAATCCTATGACTCCGCCTCCACCTCTATCGCCCCCGCCCATGCAGCCACTCATCCCACAGACGTATTATGACCCGGCGACGAATCAGGTTTGGTTCGTTTCTCCTCAAAGTCAATCACCACCTCCACCGCCATATCCAGCTTCGCCTTCGCATGCGTACCAACAATCACAACCCTACGCCACGCACCAACAATCCTACGCCACGCACCAACAACCCTACGCCGCGCACCAGCACCCAGGACACACATCCTTCTCACCTCCCCCGCCACACTCACAGCAGGGATATTGGTATCCGCCACCACCTATGGATGGAGCGCAAGGTTATGCGCCGTTTGCGTTACCATCGCATCCACCACCTCCATTGCTGCCCCCACGACCGTCGAGCGCGGGGGCGGGGGCGGTGGGTTCGAGGGGGATGGGGATGGGGATGGTGGGGAATCCGGTTATGAATGTCGGGATGGGGGTTTCGGGGCTTCCACCTGTTCAGAATCCGATGGAGATGACGATGCACAACATCGGTCCTGTCCCACTCGGATACCAGCAGCAGCATTCGCATCAGCGTGAATACTCTGGAGCAGGAGTAGGAGCAGGAGAGGAAGAAGAAGGCAAGGGCGAGCGCGCGTCGCGGATCTCGAACCATTTGAGGATGACGAGTCGGAGTCGGGGGAGGAGCGTCAGTCCGACTTCGCATCGGTTCGCTCCTCCTGCTACGACGGTGACAGTTCAGCCTTCGGGAGGTGGTGTAACTGGACCGTCGGTGCCGGTGCCGCCTTCGCTCGTCCCTGCGTCTGCGTCTGCCAATGGGAAAGGGGATGGGAGGACGGGGACGGGGACGTCGCCGCGCGAGGCGAAGTTGCATCTGTCGCTTGCGAACCTGCCGCCGCCGATTTCGACTTCTGCCTCTGCCTCTGCGTCGGGCCATTCGGGCTCACCGGGGCAAGGACAATACGGTCATAGTCCACGAAGCCCACATCATTCACAGACGCAAAGCCCAGAACTACACTCCCCCAGGCCTATCCCATCGCCAAAACATACAGTCAACGTCAACGTGGATCCTTTCGCGCACCAACATTACGCCCGCGGAAATGAGAAGTACGCGTATTCGATGAGCAAGAGTGAGAGGGTGGAGATGTTGGAGCAGTTGGCGGATGATATGCAGGGGGTGGGGGAGAGGTTGAGCCTTGATCGTGCACGGGAGGAACGGGAGAGGGATAGGGAGAAGACGTTGCCTAGTCCGCCTGTGCCTACGAGGGATTATAAGGACAGGGAGACTCGGATTCGCACTCGGGCGAACGATATCTTCACCACGGGCGAGAAGGTGAAGGTTGACGCTAACACTGGGGAGGGCGCACACGATAGGGATGGAGATGTGGGGTTATTGAGCGTCACGCCAAAGACGCCGACGTTATCTGCGTTGAGTCTGCTCAAGCCGCCGAGGCAGAGGAAGACGAGTGGCGGTGGCGGCGGTGGTGATGGTGATGGTTCCCCGAACGCTCTCAACCCACTCACGCCCATCGCTCGTGCTACCTATATCAATGACGACGTTCCGGGACTATCAAGCTCTTCACCTTCAAAACTTTCCGAAAAGCATCTCTCATCACCTCGTTCATACACCCACCTCGCAGCATCTCTCAAGCCTAGAAAAGCAGACGAACAAGAACACGAACTCAGCGGCCTGGACGCCCTCGAACGCCGTCTGCTCGCGGACGTAGGGACACGTAAACTAGAGAAGGAACGACGGGCGGATGTGAGGAGCGTTATTTCTGGTTTGCAGGCGCAGGTGCAGGCTGCCGGTGGAGGAGTTGGTGGAGGAGTGGAGCCGATCAAGATACCTACACCGGTGGCTAGAGGAGGGGAGGGGGGTCCAGAGGACGTTACGATGGATTCGGCGATTTCGAGCTTGACGTTGGGAGGTGGTGCGGAGGGGATGGGGATGGGGATGGGTGGTGGGCTTGGTGGTGCTGGTCCGGGCGTCGTCGATGTGGAGATGGGAGGGGTGCGGAATTCACCTTCACATGATGCGGTTGTCCCTTCTGCTTCTGGTGTTGGACCTTTGGACGTCGATGCTGATGTCGAGGACGATCATATTTCGGAGGAGAGGACGCAGAAGCAGGGACGAGATGGGCATTCGAGGTCTGGTGGATCTGGGGAGTCGGAACGGGGTGCATGGACGGCGAAGAAGGGCAAGGGGAAGAGTGTAGCTTCCGAGGGGAAGAAACGGAGTCATCGAGATAGAGATAGAGAGAAGGATAAGGAGAGGAGGAGCGGGAAAAACTCGAGGAGGGAGGGTAAGGAGGGTAGAGAAGAGAAGGAGGAGGCGGTCAGGCTGAGAAGAGCGGCAAAGGGGAGGGTGGCGGAGTGGTTGGGGAAGGTCACGCCAGTGGAGGTGCCGGACGTACCACCGCTGGAGGATCTGAACAAGGGTGGAGGAGGGGTGGGATCGGTTCCGGTCTCACCTGCGGTTGTATTGGGGACGTTGCCCGACCTTGGAGGAAAGGCTGAGGAGGATACTACAGCGAAGAAGCAAGAAGTGGACCCGAAGACAGTGGAGGAACCATCGTCGGCGCCCAATCCTCGTTCATCCGGATTCGTGCCCATGGCCACCATTCGCGCTCGCCAGTCTGCTATCCGACAGGATCCAAGTAACCCTCCGAATTCTACTCCTCTTTCTCCCCGTGCTCGGTTCGAGGCTGCGCTGGCTGCCAGTGCCCCTGCCCCAGCACCCAAGCCTCATCATATTCCGCTCCCGAAGAAGCTTCCTCCTTCAGTGCAGAACCTTTTCCCTCCGCCGCGACAAGGTGGCCCAAAACAGGCTACAGGTTTGGATAGTGCCGTGAGCAAGTATGATGTGAGGTCCGCGAGAGGAGGTAGGGGAGGCAAAGTCACCCAGGTCACGGCGATTTGGTCTTCGACGGCTGGTGACAATGCCGATGCGAAGGCCTCGACACCTGCCCATGTCGCTACCGTAGGAAAGCCGAAGGCCCTCGTTGGCGACAAATCCGACAAAAAGCTCGCGACGCCCGCTCCCGCTGTAGGAAAACCGAAGGCACTCCTCGCTCCCTCGAATCCTAAAGCGAAACATTCTTTGTCTTCGACACCACCTTCTGGTGCCGCAGCCGTGAGGAAGACACCGTCCCCGTTGGCAAGTCCTGTTCCTACGGCCAAGTCAGCTTCTGTTCCTGCCAGTGTGTCCAACTCTCTCGCCACACCTGTTTTGTCGTCGACTGCTTCGTTGGCGCGAGGTCCGGGCTGGGGACGAAGGACTTCCATGCCCGTGCTGTCGTCTTCACCAATGGCTAAGGCCTTACCGATGGTGACGGAAGCCTCTGGAGGTGCTGGGGAAAGCGATGCGTTGAAGAATAACATAAGACATGAGGAGGTTGGTAACAGTGCTGCTGGAAGTGTGGGCGTAATCGGGCAACACATGGCGTTTGGGCAGGCGAGGCTAAGGGAGCTCATCAAGAAGTATCAAGGGCAGGCTGCGTAATCAAGGGATTGTATTTCTAACCGTGACGGTTTGTTCGACGTTTTATCCCTCTCCATCTCCTTATTTGCCTGTTGTGTGTTTCATTGATACCACGTTCACGACCTTTCTTTTTTTGCGAGGACCATTAGATCTGTACCTCTGATTTCTGGCTCATGGTGTTATCTCGATTCGCTTTGATTCCTGGATAATTTCGCATCTGTCTCTATATATACGCATCTGCTTTGGGTTTCGTTCTATTGACTTATCCACTTTGCTCTTTCGTCCTGTTGCATAGTATGACCTGTTCCCCTATTTCATTGGTTCTGTCTCAGTCCTTGTTGCACTTATATTCCGGATCACTTACGACGACTTACGAATGACACGACTGCTCTATCCAAGACCCATGTAGCGTTTGCCTCGAACCTGGTTTTGACTGCATTTTCCTATGAGCCTTTGTCGTAGGCCAGCCATCCTCAACGCCTAGTGATTTTCCTGCATTTTCCTTGGCTGACGTATCTGGGAAGTTCGAACTCAGAAGCTTCTGGGTGCGTCTTCTGTCCCGCTTTCCTTTCTTTCATCACGCTGACGGGCCGCCGTGGTCGAGGAAATTGTCAGGATCGCTACGTTTCTGATATTCCTTTTCCGACGAAGGTCAATTATCGGTAATGAAAAGAACCTCGCGGTGATCATGTCCTTTAGCAAGTCTCTCACACCGGTTCTTTTGGGTTCCATTCCTTTTGCGAGAGCCCGTGAGCATCTTGTTCTCTTCCCGTCATAGCAGCTTCTTCTCAATTTTCCTCCTTCCCTTCCTCGGCACCCGCTCATCAAGTCGCTTTTTCCCCGGAATTAACAATGACGGTCCGCCATCGGCTCTCTGGTGCTCTGTCAGAAACCTTCGGAAGACTAGATGACGGCGCCATCTCTTCTAGCGTGCCACCGTCATGCTCTTGTGTAAAACGAGCCTCAGCCTGTGAACTCCTCCTGCTACGCCACTTGCGCCACCAATTCATCAGCGCCCCTTGCGCGGCCTATAACGCTTGGTATCGTAACCTTCCAACTAAAGCTAGCTCAGAGCTTATTATTCCTTTCGTTCCGATATGCTTTTCGTAACGACGCAGCATACGCTCACTGCCGTGATTGGAGAGCGAAAACGACGTGAGGTCCTAGCTCGGAAACTCAAACTCAAGCTTGAGCCTGCCCTTCTACGGTGCTGTCGGCCGACATTTACCAAGTCATATGGTTTGATACCTCCTACGTATTGAGTTGAAATCGCGGTGAACGTATGGGCCGTAGTTGCCACACCGTACGGAGGCGTTGTTCCACGACTCGATATAAACTCGATATCGGGTGCCGCGAACCACAATGGATGTTACCTACTATACGATCGCGAGCGTTCAACCGATACTCATCTCCTGTGAACCGAACTTACAGCAGCACTTGCTTCTCTCTAGATTTACCTCTTCAAGTCACCTGAGTTGGTTTTTCCCCCAAGCGATGGACGTTCATCGACGTTCAATAACTACTCTTTGGGAGCGGCTTCACAACCGTATTTGTAGCCTTTCACCTCAAGACTTGGTGCCCTCGCACATGATTTAATTGACTACCGGATAGGCCCTAAGATATGGAGGAAATGCGTGCTCGACAATCTTTACAGCACTAGTCGTTGAAGATCTTTGCCTTGGTATCCGTGGTGAGTTTCTTTCGCCATCACGGTCTCAGAGTCTGATGGCTAGAGATTCGCTAACTGCGCTCGACATTCAAGCGTCGCTTCCATCGTATTCATGCGATAACTTCCATACAAGCCCCGTAGCTTGCGAAGCCACCTCAAAGCCTCACATAATACTGCACCTTTGAGGGCTTCAAGAGGGGACATAAGTGGTCTCTGATACAGCACATGAATATTTGAGTGCTTGAGTGCGTTGAGTCGCTCTCTCGCCAAAGAAATCCTCAAGAAATACCGTCGGGATGATCCTGACGGACCCAGTCCCGGGGCCGGCCGGTGTTTGAGCGAGCTGTCGCTTGGGGTGGCCCTTGATGCGCCACGCATGACGTACAATCAAAATGCCGGCAACTTGTGCATTCGAAATTCGACCCGTTCCTGCGTTTACCTCCGTATAGTCGTCTAATCACCGATTAACCGTCCAGCGTTGCAATCCGTGCTCAGGCGAAGCGTTCCGATGCACTCCTACATCGTCTGGAGCGCTCTCGAGCTCAAGCTCGACATCGTCGTTGACAACGCGCATTAACGATGGACCTGATCGTGACCGTGCTTTGCTCCGGGTGAACCCTCCCGCCAGAAGAATTTCACAATTTAAGGACTACCCCGATGGATACCCTCAAAGAGAGAGAACGCGGAGACAGAAGGATCCGTGCCTCTCTCACCCCACGCGACCGGCGACGAGATCTGTGAATTAATTTGATGTGAAGCCTTCTCGCCGACGAATCTAGACGAGCTTCCAGCCCCTTTCCTACTTAACCAATGTCAGCACCATCACTTCCTCCCTTCTCTGCCCTCCATTTTTCACGACACGTAGCGTGCTCTCTTCCACCATGAATCCCGCCTCTAGCAGCTCTCACTCAAACTCAGTGTGTAGCCAATGTCTAAACTTTTGATTGCTTCGGTACATTGACCTAAACACCATTGTCCGACTTTCAGTTTAGACCTCCCCCATCCACTCCTCTACAGACACGATTGCCCCTTCAATTCGTAATTATAGGCGGGGGCATATCTGGTCTTGCTTGTGCTATAGGTCTCAAGCGTGTTGGTCATAATGTTCTTGTACTGGAGAGTGAAACAGACATTTATCACGTACGTAGAACAACCACGCTCCTTGCGCGGTCTCGGGCTCATATTCAGCTGTGGTCAGAAACCTGAATACTCCGGAGGGATGAGGATGCCACCAAATATGACGAAGATTTTCCGTACGTCCAGTTCTGTATGGTTGTCTTTGGTCCCGAAATCGATTTTCACATGTCGCTAGACCATTGGGGGTTAGGAGACCGGATCGAGAAGATTGGCTCGGTATCGGAACGTGTCCTCATGTCGAGACGTGCGTATACTATTTTACTCCTCTCTTATACTCCGATTTCTTATAGTTGTCTGCCCAGTCGGGGACGGAGAGCCTCTAGGCGCTCACAGATGGGACGCGGAGATGTTGCAGGAAGCGGGTGGAGAATTCACGTTTGTACATGTACGCATCTTTACCTCTTCGCATCCCAAGTCGCTCCTGATCCTCCCTTCAGCATTCTACATTACGAGAAACACTGTTCGAAATCGCGACTGAGCTTGGCGCTACTGTGCGGACGCGTTCGGAGGTCCTGTCAGTTGACGCCGATGATAGCCTGGTGACGCTTATTCGTGATGGCAAACGGGAGACTTGCACGGCGGACGTTATTATTGGCGCAGATGGCGCTCATGGGATATGTCGTCTACAAGTAAGAGGGCTTCTCGACATTGGCCAACCAACGGGTCTCATGATGTTCAGGTGAGTTGCGGCTAGATGATTATACGACGTGGAGGACTTTCAGTACCGTCTCTGGATCCCATATCCGCTTTACTGACTGAACTATTCTAGTTCCGTCATTCCTGGGTCGGCAATGCATGCGGACGCAGATTTGCGGCAGTTTCTTGAGACCGAACTGGTACGTCAGGAATCTATATTTATACATATTTTGACTGAGACATCGTCTTTTCCTGTCAGTCGACGCAGTATGTGTGGTTCGGAGATAGTCATTGTGCTTTGTGTTTCCGAATAGTAAGTCTCAATTTTTATCAGCTCATCAGGGTCGAGTCTCACGAAAAGTACGTCCAGAATAAGCAGGATGACTGTGCTTTTTATTTCTACGCCCCGGATGAGCAAGCGCGAGATGTTTGGGGTGACGTTGTTCCAATAGAAGATTTTGTGCGGCATACGGTATGTGCAGAACCTAGGTTAGTCATTTCTATCACGGTAAAACGACGTGCTCTGATTGGGAATTATATTTTGCGGCATGACATGTAGGCTACGAAAACTTGCGAAACTTGCGGCACCGAAACGTATAAAAGTCGTTGAACGAGCAAACCTGGAAGACTGGGTACATGATTCAGGACGAATGGTCCTCGTCGGAGACGCGGCCCATCCATATCCCGTACGTCTTGACACTTGATCAACCATATTATTCTACTCCCTTCATTCCTCCGGGGCTACCAATGAGTCTTAAGATCCTTTTCATTCCTGAGAGTCCGTTACTGCGATTGGTCTGACAACGTAACATCTCATTGGCCAACAGCCAGGAGCAATTCAAACGTGGGCCATGGCCCTCGAAGATGCCTCCGTCCTAGCGAAGTTATTCAGCCATCTACGCACACACGATCAGATCCCATCGTTTCTATACGCTTTCCAAGATCTACGACAAGCTCGGGTCACCAAAATCCGCCTACTCGACATGGCAAATATACAGTTCATGACTATGCCCCCAAGCGAAATGACCTGTGGACGCGATGCCGCCATGCGAGCCAAATACGACGCTGGCAAGGATGTACTCGGTGGCGATGATGAGGATGGCAACGTAGCCCAGTGGGATGAGAATAGGGAGATCTTCGGGTACGACGCGGAGGACGAGGCGGACAACTGGTGGGTGGAGTGGGGTTTGTTGAGGGAGCGTGCCAGAGAGGGGAAGATTGAGATGGAGGTCGAGCTGAGTATACAAGTTGAGTCGCTGTTGCAACAATAGATTCCGTTGCTCTCAGTTCGACTTCGTAGCCTCTCCCTCCCTACTGCATGTTGTATTTGTTCCATCACTATACTATATTTCATCTTTGGGTTTTATTGAACAGTAATCCTGTTTGGATCATCTTCCGGAAATTTGACAGATGTCTAACATCTCTTTCCTCTCTAGGCTAGAGAAAAAGTTGCTCCTCAATGACCGCGGACCCCTCTCCTATAACACGTGGACGGACAAGTGTACCTTACAGACCACTCCACTCGTATAATCCAATTCTTCCGTATGTAATTCATCCTTGATGTACCATATTTTCTCTTGCCTTTTGGGCTCCGTCAGGAGTTTTGATTTGTATCTGCGGTTATTTCCCTTCCTTCTGCCCCATCAATTCGACAGACGACAGGCGTTTGGCCTAGACTCAATCTCGAACTCTGTGCCAGGTTGACATGGGGAACTTTGTCTTCCTCACTGGCCTCGCGGACTGTTACCAACGAGCCTCCCGGAAGCCGATTAAACCTGGTTATTCCTATGATAGGCTATCACTCTCACGGATGTTGACACGTATTAATAACTTTCAATGGCTGGAGCAGGTCGTAGAGCAACCTCGATCGCTGGTCCTTTGCAAACATCCTTTTCAAGCGACCCCTTCAGTTTCGAGATACTACCACTACTGCTGCTCCAGCCTTCGACTTCAAGCTAGCCCCATACTTCCCTATGCCCATCCAGTGTAGTCTCTCGGAGGCCGTACACTGGTATGGCTTTTGCTCCATGGTGGGAGGGTAGGCTCTCCATATCCGATAAGTTCGCGAGCGAGCACCTGTACATGTCGTCCTTTGGCTTCGTTTTCTCCGGTCGGGACTTTTCGGGGCGCGCTGATCCGAGTTTCTGAACTCTAACCTGCTGCTCCAAGGTACTACTGTATGCCAGTCTTCGTCTCGGAAACCAGCACCATACGAAAACCGGCGTGTCAGGACTGGCTCAAGTAATCTTGTCCTGTTGAGGTATGTGAGTCTTTCAAGCTCAGCCTCCAGTAGAGCTGAAACCGTCTGCCAACTTGAAAGTGGATGCGGGTTGATCGATTCACTTCTAACGATCCTTCCTTCCTCTTTGCTGAGTTATCGTATCCCTAGTTTGAGGTTGAGGCATGTCCCACGTTTACTTTGACCCGGTTGTCAATAGTTCTTTGCCGCCGTTTTTGGCAAAACTTACACGTGCGAACCCGAAATTATTGGTATGAACCGTATAGCACGACTCTGAGACTAATTTTGGGACATCACGAGCTCGTTTGAGGCTCTCTAGATCTGGCTCCGCCTATCTCCTTGTGCATTCTCGAATCACTCTCCCTGCCAACCACTGCCACAGTTGAGTAAATATGAGAGACGAAGATATCAAATACAATACACTCAGTCCAGTGCTCTTGCCCTGATCTGCTGTTCCGCTCTTGCATACTTCAAGATACTCGCCGACCGTCAGATCACAAACCTCTCGTTAGACTCGTTAAGAACACCGACCGACTCCCTCCACTTAAGCTGCACTGACTTATGGGCAGTTTTTTGTCATGGATCTTCCTCACCTCCTTGAATCACCCTCTATTATTTCAGGTTGGGCAAGTGATAATGCTGCATTTGAAGTACTTATGATTCACAATCCATTGCAACCCCTCCTCCTTCCATGGGCCACACTGGTGCCACATAGCCTCTCTCCCTTTTTTCTCTCCAGTGGCCTCACGACAGCGCGTGACTCTCATACCTGCTCATGCGATTAGTCCGTATTCCTTTTTGAAAGTGCAGATATATACACTCCATGTAGAATGGGATGGCTAGTGTCCCCTCATAGATGGTTCAAGTGAAGTAAATAAATTATCACCGAAATTATCACCGACGGAGGAGTCCGGGTCAGGTACTGATTAGATTAGATGACTTTCATCCCCCGATGATATCTCGTTTGCTCCCGACCGTCATCGGACCATCACTCTGCCAATCATTTCGAACAGATCACCGGTCAAACGGTCAAGACTGCATCTATTCAACACCTAAAACTAGAAGAGCTGCTTTGACTTCTATGTATACCGCGGTCGAGAAAGACGAAGGTGCCCAGCCCTCTAATAACAGGAAGGCCGACGAGCTGGCATCCCTGGCCTCCTGGGACCGCTCATTTATGGCTCATTTCGTGGTTTCCACTCCGAACGATGTCCGTTGCCTCGGTCATCGAGCTAAAATTCAAATAATGCGGCCACCTATATTGAACTAACCCATAACAGTAACCGATGCTTGCACCAACGCCATTCCCTTCTTTGCTCTCCACTTTTCAGCACGCGTAGAATGTCCGCCTCCTCCACCATGAACCCCGCATCCAGCAGCTCCCGACCACGCCCAGTGAGCGGTCATTATTCTTCCTCTTGTTTGCTTCCGTTTGCTGACACTCGTGACTCGCACACTGTCATACGACCTCTAGTACAGACGACCTCCATCCGTCCCGCTTCAGACGCGGCTGCCCCTCCAATTCGTCATCGTAGGCGGGGGCATATCCGGCCTTGCTTGTGCCATCGGTCTCAGGCGCGTTGGACATAATGTTCTTGTATTGGAGAGCGAAGCCGACATCAGCCACGTACGTCGAACAGTCCCGCTTTCTTACTGTCTATGGCTCGTGTTCAACTCTATTTCAGGCCGCCGACTTCTCTGGTGGGATGAGAATGCCTCCAAATATGACCAAGATCTTCCGTACGCTCGACTCTCTCTGCCCTTCTGGAGGACAACATTGACATTTACATGTCTCTAGACCACTGGGGTCTGAGTGACCGGATTGACAACATTAGCCTGGTTACGGATGCCGTTCTCATGTCAAAATGTGCGTGCACTCTATCTCCACTCCTATTTTGGGTTCTTAGCTTTATTTGTCCAGTGGGAGACGGGGACATTCTAGGGTCTCATAGATGGGTCGCCGAGTTGTTGAAGGAAGCAGGTGGTGAATTCGCAGCCGTTCCCGTACGTCCATGCTTTGCTGCTACTGGTCCTCCTCCATTAACCATCATCGTAGCACGCGACACTACGGGAGACCCTCTATGAAATTGCCACAGAGCTGGGCGCTACTGTGCGGACGAGTTCAGAAGTCCTGTCTGTTAACCCTGATGAACGACGAGTCACGTTTGTTCGTGGTGGCAAGCGCGAATATTGCCTGGCGGATGTTATAATCGGTGCAGATGGTGCTCATGGGTTATGTCGAGTGCAAGTGCAGGGACTTCTCGACATCGGTAAACCGATGGGCCTCATGATGTTCAGGTACGGCTTCTTCTTTCAGAGAAAACTGGCTAAAGCATGAGGGAGGGTACGCTGACTTCAATCGCACCAGTTCCGTCATTCCGGGTGCTGCAATGCGTGCGGACGAAGAACTACGGCAGTTTCTGGATAACGAAGTGGTACGTCAGGATTATTTCACGGTGCTTTAAACGGTTTATGGTCTGGTCCTCAATTGTGGCACCATTTCTTCCTCTAGTCATCCCAGTATGTGTGGTTCGGAGATAGCCATTGTGCTTTGTGTTTCCGAATAGTACGTCTCCCTCTTTCCGACGCACCAATCGAAGTAGAGGCTCACGAAAAGCTTCTACAGAACGCCGCGGGCGACTGTGCTTTCTACTTCTATGCTCCAGATGATGGGGCGAGAGACGTTTGGGACGATATCGTACCGACAGAATACTTCGTTCGTCATACCGTCGGTGCGGAACCCAGGTCAGTCAAATTTCCCACGTTTCGGAAAATGAGCGTGCTCTCATCCGCGATTTGATTTTCCATTTAGGTTACGAAAACTCGCCAGACTGTCAACTCCAAGACGCATCAAAGTCGTGGAACGAGAAACTCTGGAGGACTGGGTGGACGATTCGGGACGAATGGTCGTCGTTGGAGACGCGGCCCACCCATTTCCTGTACGTCTTCTCCCCTCTATCGGCGCTTGTGCTTCCGAATAGTTTCCGCGACTGGATTCCTAATGTACTACCCGTTCTATCCCGCCAACAGCCAGGTGTCATCCAAACATGGGCCATGGCCCTCGAAGACGCCTCCGTACTAGCAAAATTATTCAGCCATCTACGCACACGCGATCAGATCCCATCATTCCTTTATGCTTTCCAAGACCTACGGCAAGCTCGGGTCAAAAAAATTCGTGAACTCGATGTGGACAATATCCATTTCATGACTATGCCCCCGAGCGACATGACGCGTGGGCGCGATGCCGCCATGCGAGCCAAGTACGACGAGGGAAAGGACGTACTCGGTGGCGACGACAGCGACGATGACGACGGGAACGTGGCACAGTGGGACGACAATAGGGAGATTTTCGGCTACGACGCGGAGGACGAGGCGGACAACTGGTGGGTGGAGTGGGGGTTATTGAGGGAACGTGCCAGGGAGGGAAAGGTCGAGATGGAGGTCGAGCTCAATATACAAGTTGAGTCGTTGTTGCAATGGTTGTCGCGCTGTGCCCTTATGTTGCGCTACATAACTGCACCATTTTTTTCGCTTATCTTTGAGTGTTTGACAAGACTCTGACGATCTCATCTCATCTCTTTATCTTTAGGCCACGGAAGATATTGCTTTGACATCCTCCCAGCAGCACGTGGACGAACGGGCATCGTAGAGGACATTTTACTCGCCGATAATTCGTCTTTGGTTCACAGGTATTTCATCTAAAATCTATACCCCATACTTTCTCGCTTGTGGTCTTCAGTAGCTCCATCAGAAGACATTTCTGTGCGTATCAGGAATAGTCTCTTCCCGACACCATATGGCTTGACATTATACCGCGTGGAATAGTAATAATCTTTGTCGTGAAGACCATTACATTGCGCTCGGGGGAGAGCTCGTAGATTCTGCAGAAGCACGGAATACAGCAGACATGTTAGCCGCTGCTGCTTATTGCTAAAGCTCACGAAAGCCACAGCGGGGAAAGAAGGTCATCGGCCCCGCAATGGTGAGGCCTGGGCGTGCCTGGTATAATGAATTTTCGTCGAAGGTCACAGTGGGACAACGTGGACTTCAACCTTACCATTATGCGATGCTCATTATGGAAAGTTGAACGGCCACCTTAGGGCTTCACGTTCTCGCGTATGCGCTTGCCAGGCTGCATGAGGCCAACGAGGACAGTAGTGTCACATACGAGTTCCAGACTTACCTGCACTAGCGACTTCCTCAGGAGCCATTCTGTCCTGTCTGCTAACCAATGGCCATGTTACTTTGAGATCGTGGCTCGAGATCATCGTAATCAGATTCTGTGCGTTCGCTGTGGACCAAGAGGGATCAGAATCTGCAGTGCCACCTCTTTCCACCTTCGTCGAGTGCCACCTGGCCTGCGCTTCGGTCTTCTTCGGGAAACCAATTCCAGGGTCATGGCCTAGTTATGACAAGGGGTCTGGCCTACCAATTTGAATATTGCTCTTTTCCGAGGCATTCATGTTCGACGGTGGTAAGCCCGGTAAGCGCAAGCTCTTCTCGTTTACCACCATCTCCCACTACCAATACTTACAGCATAAATACAGGACCGCTTACAGGAATTGTTCTTCATCCTTCGCGCAACCCTTGGACGGTCCAGGTCTTACCCCATGGAAATTCGAACTTGGGAAGGAATTTATTCCATCGAGTTAGACAGCGGCCAACCTAAGCTGTTTTAGTGTAAAGGTATGTCCCGATACTCGTGGTGGACGTGCTTTCGAGGCTCCCGGATCGCTTGTCTTTCTTTAGTTAAACTTGGCGCCTAGTGTCTCGCGTCAAGATTAGAACGTTTATCCCACCCAGTCCACTCATGTTTTCGTTGTTTGAATTCCACGATTAATAATACATTCTCGAATCTCTTGAGCACTATTTATTGCCCTGAGACCAAAATGGGCGACCCATCGTCATATTTCTCGGACTTGACTTCAGGATCTCTACGGTTGAGGTCGCGTAGTTCTTCGCGCTCGGTTTCACGCTTTCCTCTTCTTCATTGTAACAACTTCATAACGACTGCTCATGATGTACTTCACCTCGACGCTCCGGTCCATTGCTCTTGCTACGCTCGCCATTTCTCTCCTCGTTGCCTACAGGTTTATTCAGCGCCGACGAAGGAATCCCTTATGCCTCCCTTACCCGCCTGGTCCGAAGCCTTTGCCACTGCTCGGAAATATATTCAACCTTCCGAGTGAATACATCTACAAGGTGTTCACAGACTGGGGTCGCGAACTCGGTGAGTGTCCTCATTGTTTGTCCTCTCTGCTCGGAGAAGTTTTGTTGGGATCCAACGACCTACAACTTTGATGAAGGCTTTGCCTACGTCGGTTTTGCGACTACGGTCGGGTTACTCGAAGGGAGAGCAGGATGTTATCTCTCTGGCGTTTGTGAACCTGCTTACCCTGAGGCCCGGGACCGAAGCGAGCCGTCTCCATTTAGACGCTCCAAAATACTTACCCCTGTTCTGCGACCCAGAGCCTCCCATGCAGGCCAAGCTGACCTTGTATATCTTTGTAGACTCTGATATTATCCACATCGAAGTCCTCGGAACACATGTTATCGTACTCAACTCGAAAGAGGCTGCAGATGACCTTCTCGACAAGCGTTCCGCGATCTATTCTGACCGGTGAGGCACCCCGAGTTTTCCGAACTAGCTGTCTGAGACCCTGACTATTTCTTCCCTACTCTTCTTAGACCCCGCATGCCTATGATGAATGAGCTGTAAGCTCAGTCATGCCGTGATTGACTAGTATCATGATATCTGACCATCTAACGCAACGTTAGCATGGGGTTCTACTGGTCCCTAGGCTTTACGCCGTACAACAACTGGTGGAAACACTCCAGGAAACTGTTCCACCACCACTTCCAACCTTCAGCCTTGGTCCGGTTCCGACCCAAACAGCTCAAGGCCGCACACGACTTCCTGCGACGCCTTGCGGACACACCTGACGATTTCCGGGATCATGTTCGGCTGTAAGTTGCTCCTTTCCTTGCGGACAACTCTTACGGCCAGCGCCCTGACTCTACGGAACCCTTGATTGTCGTGATGTGTGGCGCGATTAGTATGGCAGGTTCGGTGATTATGGATATCTCCTACGGGCTAGACATCAGGACGCACAACGATCCGTATCTTGAAAGGGCTCAAGGGGCGCTCGATATCATCGACAAGGCCGGCAATCCTGGTTCATGGCTCGTCGACCTGATTCCAGCCTGTACGTACCGTGCACGTCATCTCCTTTACCAACATTCTCCATTTTCTCCGCAACACTTGGTGCTCATGCCTGGACTACTTGACAGTGAAGCACGTCCCCGAATGGATCCCTGGCGCAGGCTTCAAGCGTAAAGCCCGTGAATGGCGTGCCTTCGTCGACCATTACTGCTCTGCCCCCTTCGACTTTGTCAAAGACTCGATGAACAACGGCACTGCTGTCCCTTCGTTCACCTCCATTGCATTGAGGGACATCAAGGGTGAACAGAATAAGGCCTATCAGGAGGAGATGATCAAGAGCATTGGAGCGACAATCTATACCGGTTCGTGGTTCCGTGACCTCGATTGTAGCTCTTCTTTCTGACTTCTTCCTCGTGACTCATCGACACAGCTGGCGCGGACACCGTGAGTCCTCCTTTGATTTGACATGTTGGTGTTCGTTGCGGTTCATTTTACTAATTACTGGGCGTCGTAGACAATGTCCGTCCTGGCGACCTTCTTTCTGGCCATGACAATGTACCCCGACATCCAGAAGAAGGCCCAGGCCGAAATTGATTCCGTCATTGGCCATCGTCTCCCTGATTTCTCGGACGAACCTCATCTGCCCTACTGCTCTGCTCTCATGAAAGAAGTCCTGCGCTGGCACCAAGTCGCTCCGTTCGGTATGTTCATACTAAGTCTTGACCCCGTCTTCCGGTCCAAATATGAGAGCTGAGATATCGCTATTCGTCACGCATACAGCCATTCCTCACCGTGTCATGACCGATGACTTTTACAAGGGATATTTCATCCCGAAAGACTCCATCGTCATCGGAAATGCCTGGTCTATCCTCCACGACCCCGAGCTCTATCCTGACCCCTTCACCTTCGATCCCCACCACTTCCTCTCCAACGACCCTGACTATCCCATCGACGCCAAAGCCCTCGCAGCCGTAGATCATGCGTTTGGGTTCGGTAGACGTATGTGTCCCGGACGATGGATGGCTATGAGCTTCGCGTGGATCACGATGGTCAGTGTGTTAGCGAGCTTTGAGGTGGGGAAGAAGGTCGATAAGGAGACGGGAGAGGTGAAGGAGCCCAAGGGGGAGTTCTCGAGTGGCATTATGGGGTATGTGGTCCTTTCTGCTGTCATTCTTCCCGCTCTGTCTGCCTCTCTTCCGCGGTTTTGGGTATGTAGGCTGATAAACCTTCGTTTCGTCTTTGTAGTACCCCGATGCCTTTCGAGTGCAGTATCAAGCCGAGGTCTAAGGACACCGAAATGCTCATCAGAGCCACTGGCTAAGCTTTCGTTTCCTGCCATGAGTCCTCGTTGCCGACCTGACCTTCAACCACGTATTTCCTTCCTGTCTATATCTTCCATACTCCACAACCCATCCATTCTCCCGCCTTCCTGTACTCATAACTGGTTGAAGGCCTATATGACGAACGACGACCACGATTCCGAACACCGTACTTGATGATAATGACAACTTATGCAAACCACACTTCTTGTCCATCTTCTTCTCCCCCTTTTTTGTACCTCTTGTCAATTCACGAATTCCTTGTACTTCTTCTGTCCACCAAAGCTTCATTTATCCGTAGGTCTTATTCATCGTGTCAAATCCTTACTTTTCCTTCGTGTGGATGTGTACATACTGTACATGTTATGACTTGTAAACGTGCTTACCTCCACCGGTACCCAGATCCCGCTCCAATCGCCCACGACGATAGAATTCTTTCCCGCTTCCTACTTTTCGATCGTCATGGTCCATTGCAGGCATGGACGGTCGATGCTCGATGCCTCGGAGCCCACCAATCTCCTGACTCATTTTCACAATCGTCGATCGTAGGAGGGAAGAAAGGTTAAGATCGAGAATTCAATTTTGAACACTCGAAATCCCCGTCCTCGTGTGAGTCACCGAAGCCCTTCGACTCTTCCGGTCTTCCAGCATCTCGCGGTTTCTCGACCGACGACAGCTTCCCGAGTCGATCCCGTCCTTCTTCTCCCTTCGAGTCTTCCTTCCTTCTTTCCGACAATTCCAATCCATCCACGTTTCCCTTCAACTGTCAACATGTCACCATCCCGCATCTCTAGCCACTACCCAATCTTCCACGTTCCACGTTCCACTGCACGAATCTTTCACCCTTCCTTCCTCGGTCCTCCCAGATCCCCGACCCATCTGAATCGACATCGACGTCTCCAAATCTCATCGATTGCACTTTAACTTACCGGGCTCGACGGGCACTCAGCATCGTACGTAAAAAGAAGACAACCCCCTCTGTATATTTACTAGCATGAAAAAAGTTAGTCTGCGCTACGTCACGGTAAGTAGTCGATGGAGGCGAGAAATCACGGAATATACCAGTGGCCATAGCCGCCGGCTACTGCGTATGCAGCACGAGGAAGTTCTCGAGTAAGTACATGCATATGATATCCCTGTTAGAACGAAAAGAAAAATGGACGTACATTGACATGTAAGGTTGCGATCCTCTTGGGGGATGAACATGGGCGGAAACACCCGACCAAAATCTTGAGGTGGAGGCGTGTGCTGTCAGAACTTCGCCGTAAGAGTCCGTGTCCACTGTGTCCGTTTCGTTCGGAATACCGGCTGCACCCGATGTATCATTGGGTCGAGGACACTACAGGCCAAGTGTCGAGGAACGTCGAAGCGCTCTTTAGTTTGCATGGAAATTGAAGGCAACTGACCGGAGACACCGAAAGATTCAGATGATACCTGCTAAGGCCGAACGAAGGATCATGGTCAGGCCGCCCAGCCCGTATGCATTCTCGAATGTGCAGTGATTTCTCACTTTCACTAGGAAGGAAAGGGATCTAAATCTAAGATATGTATCGACTATCGAGAGGGTATATGCAATAGAGAGAAAAAGTACGTTATCCACCGAATTAGACCAAAACGAAACCTCTTCCAAGCATCCGATGTCTCGGAACCTTCTTGGGCGACCAGATCTGAACACGAACACGAACACGGATGAGCAGGTCCAAGATCAAGAACCAACAACAGGAGAGGCAGCCACAGGGGCCACTGCGAAAAATAGATCCGTCCGTTACCTCCGTTTGCTTCCGTCCCACATTGACAGTCCACTCGTCCAAATCCATCCACCCCTTCATCCGTCCTTCCTTCCGTCCGCCCACCTACATATGTACCCGCTGATTCCTGAACAACAATCCAAGCAAGCGCACCCACCAAACATGGTCAGATTAACACCTCCACATTCACGCCAGCATCCCGCGCTTTACGACATCTTCACCACATGTACGCAGGTACCTCCTACATACATTTGCCCTGGATTCTGAGTCTGGAGTCTGAGTGGTCGTCTGGTTGTCTTCGGCCCCGGTCCATAAGCTAAATATGTATAGATGCAGGATGTGGTGATGCGACGAAGACAGAAGACAGGCCGTGGAGAGATTCGAGATCAGGGTTCAGCACCGCCGATAAATTCCTCTTCGCATTTCTTCCTCCCTGTGTATATGACAGATAGATAGATAGATATGAGCCATCACGATCGTCAGCTTTGCGTCCGAGCGAGAGAAAGGGCAAAACAAAGCGAAGATGGGGAATGATGAACGGGACGCCCGAAGTATGGGAGGGTATGATAGAACGGCGGGATGAGGGGCCGGCGGGGCGAAAGACGGGAACAAGTTAGAGGACGGATCGAGTAACGTACCTGTACTCAAACATAACCTGCACTCCTACGAACAGACAGGCACACGTCCCGAAGAGAAATCTGAGGCCTGTAGCACACCACACCACGACGCCACATCACGCCCGTCACCCAAAAAGAACAGAAAAAAACACAATGAGTGATTAGCATCCGAATGACACGAAAACGATAATCAAAACGTGTCACGTCCACCCAGAAAACCTCAAGAAAAGAGAGAAAGAACGCCTGAACAAAGAAAGAAAGGCCGGGAACGCACCTTCCCAACTCCCCACCAACCTCCCCGCCACCTCCCTCGTCCCATCCGTGCCGAGCACGAACCCTACGAGATTCGCGCCCATCATCATGAGTATGTTGACGACCCCACCGAGTGCGCACAGGTGTCTGTAGTACGGTTTTTTGGGCAGCTGTGATATTGAGAAGATGAGGGCGGGTGGTGGTGGTTAGCATGGCATGGGACGATATCGGCGAAATTGGATATAAAAACACGAAATCTGGGGATGAAGCTCGAACAAACGGGCACGAGGGGCCTGAAAGACAATAACCAAAGACGAGTGAGCAAAGAGTTCAAACTCACCCCGACCTTCCTCGCCCCCCATCCAGCCAGCACCTCCGGAATGACAAACAGACTGATCAACCATCCCCACGCTAACAGTCTAAAACTAAGATCGTGCCAGAGCGCGACGAAGGAGAAGACGAGGAGCGTGGTGAGGAGCTGGTGGGAGGAGCCACCGAGGGGGATGTAGATGTATCTGTGTGTTAAATATCCCAACAAACAAACATGACAAGGAAGCGGATCAGCCAATGTGGTGGACATGAAGAAAGGAGGCGAAACGAAATGTTGCTCGATAGGGAGCAAAGAATAGAGAAATATAGAGATGCAGACGCACCGCACGATCCAGAGATTATACGACCGATGCCACGCCCTCCAGAACCCAAGCGTCGAATAATTGTTCGCCACACAACGGACCATGTTCTCCGGTGGGTCGATCCCGTCCAGGAGCGCCCAGAGGCGGAAGAAACGCCATGGTAGAAGGAGCTGTCGTGCGTTTTCATCCGTTCGTGAATGGAAGAGCGAAGGTGGGTGGGTTTAATTGGGTGAGGAGCACCGTATTTTCGGGGTCGGTGAGTTCACGAGTCGTCGGTTGGTCGGTGGGCGAGATCATCCGTTCGTAGGGGACCGAGGCAAAGCATGGCCGGGTTCGCGAACATTTGACGTTGGTAGGCGAGCGAACGGAAAGTCGACCACGGAGAGGTTTTACGTTATGCACATACAGATGGCGGCGAAGTGGACAAAGGAAAGAAAGAAAGAAAAGAAATCAGCCTCCGAACACCTCACTCTCACTCCGAACACTCAAAAAGGAACAAGAAAAAAATTCCCGAATAGAGGTCGATAGGGACAGAACGCCCACACGACGGTACGAGGACCAACCAAAACCACGAACAGCCGAAGACGAAGACAAAGATGAAATCACCAGGGAATTCCAATCCGTGCGACGATAGACGACACGACTCCACTCCCTCTGCGCAAGTAAGGCGCGCGCGTGTGTGCGAAGGAAAGACAACAACCCCCACCAAACCGAAAAAAGAAAAGAAGATAAAAAACTAACCTTCATCCAAACAAAAACCAAATTCCAAAACCCCACCAGCGCCACCTCGCCCACACTGTCCCCGGCAAACGCGCGCTCGTCCTTGATGGCGACGACGTACATGTAGTGGAGGATGAATTCCATGGAGAGGAGAGAGAGGAGGAAGCGGGTGAGGTAGAGAGGGCGGGATTGGAGCGGGAGGGACGCTGGGGAGGAGGGTGGAGAGGGGGAGGAAGAGGTGGAGGAAGGGGTGGCGGCGGTGGTGATGGGAGGTGGGGAGTAGATCTGTGGGAGAGGAGAGACGAGAGGTCAGTATCGGACGATGGCGCCGTGGTCGGCAAGATCGAAGGAAGATGAAGAGCACAAAGCAAAGTACGTGGACAGATAGATGGTGCGCATATGCGTATAAGGCCTCTCTCAAGAGGGAGAACGGGGCGGAGGGCTGTAGTAGTACAAATTATCGAGTATTGGTGCTCGCGCGCACGAAAGGTCATTTTCGCCATAAGATGAGCACAGAATAACACAAATCCTGAACATGGTGCACTGCACGTCAAAAGTACGCGTCCGGGGTACAAAAGAAGCCACCGTCTCCGCCTATATCTATATGGTCAACCTCTTCCCCATTCCTGCCTTTACGCCACGCCACACGCTACATGTCACATAGCACTGATCTCACACTTCAGAGTCAGACTCTTCGCACCTCCACGTCCACGACTATCTCACGCCCATTTATCCGCTCACTCTTTCGAGAATCAGCGAGCGCGGTTCAAGAAACGTGTAGCACCAACGGGGACATGTATACCTGTATTCGCGCGCACGACAGAACAAGCAGCAACCGGAACGACGCGCGTTTCGCGGCGCTATGTAGATGTGAATGTACGTCTGGGAGCAGAGCAGACGGAGCGCGGGGAGCGTCATGTGTAAAAAAAAACTCTAGTCCGCTCTCGGCTCTCGAGCGGTAGGCAATAAAACGTTGACGCTCCATCGTCAAGAACGTTATATAGATTGCTAGTCCAAATAACGATCCACGAAAGAGCGTGTCTCTCTTGAACAACTCGAACCTCAAACTGAACAGACCAAAAAAGTATGCTCGCAATATGTGCGTGCGTGTTTCTCTGTCTCAAACCGGCAATCCATGCACGTCGACCGCAAACCATGAAACACAGACGCAAACCTCAAACCCAACCAAAAAGGAGCACAAGACGCACCTGCCACATCCAATCATTAAACCCCATAATTGGGCCCGCGATATACAGCGGCGGATAGAGCACGTAGGCAAGGTAATTCGCGAATGTGTACGTGGCGGGGTCGTGTGGTGTTTTTGAGCGGGCTTTGTCGGATTTTGGGAGGGAGATTGGGGATGAGGATGCGGGGGTCTGGAGAGCGAGAAGGGGAGGGATGAGATTGGTCCAATGGAGGATGATATTATGAAGGAAGTACCTCAGACGTGCAAGCCCACCAATAATCCATACTGAACGCGACGAGCCTGAGCATCGTGATATTGAACGTGACGTGCCACCGCGGATACACGCCTTGCCAGCTGTCCTACCGGGCGTACCACACATCCATCCACGATAGTCAGCACAAAACAACGGCTACGAGAGAGCCAACGCCAACGCACCATGAACGCTAGCCGAGGCATGATAATCCCCCAATCATACCCCCCATACTTCTCGTTCATGAACAGCACCAAGCCATTAAACGCCCACATCGCGCCCACCACCACTTTACCCATCGCCTTTCCCTTTGCTGCCGCGGTCCGAGGGGCTAATATGGCCAACGCATAGTTCCCGCTTAGGATGGCAAGTACGAAGAAGGCGGAGGTGCCGTGGAGGACGAAGATGAGGAGGAGGGAAAAGAGGGTGTAGAATGGGAGGAGGTGTGCTCGTGAGGGGTATGTTTTTGAGGGGGTGGAGGGGAGGGAGAAGGTGTAGAGGGATTTGAAGGCGAAGAAGATGGAGAGGAGGAGGGTTAGGGCGGGGATGTTGGAACGGAAGGAGCGGTATTGGACGTCGGAATTGTCCTGTACCGTTACAGTTGATATGGTCAGGTCTGCGCATAGTGTTAGTAGAGAAGTAATAAACGTACGAACGGCCTTCCGAACATCCATCCCTGTGCTAGTCGACGGACATATAACGGAAAATTCGGATGACTCGCTGCAATATCCTATCATAATTCAGCTTCTGCTATGAAGGATGAGGAAGACGGCCTCGACGCACGCGAACTCAATCTAATAGGCACCCACACCATCCACGGCACGACGACCGCAAAGACGACATAATACAGCATGAACTCCTTCGTTCGCCACCTCGACTGTCCAGGTCCCCTCTCCGCTCCATTTCTCTCGCCTTTCGCATTGGCGTGTGGCGGGGCGGTATGCGAGGAGGGTATATCGACCGTGAGGTCAGTTATCCAGAAGCCGTCTTTTGTTTGATTTTTACGTTGAGATGGAAGGTTGTCGGTTGGCATTCCTGCTGTTGCTGTTGTCGCTGTGGAAGCGCTGTGGAGGGGTAGGAGGTGTATATTGTCGCGGTCTGAGTCTGAGGGTGAAGGTGCAGGACCGAGCATACGACCGTTTGGATTAAATACTAGATATCAGAGGCTGAGAGAAAAGCAAAAGCGAAGGTTTAAAGAGAATGTTTGTATGTCTTATGTCAGTGAGGTCAGCATTCCAAGACCGTTGAGTGAGTGATATGCAGAGTGAGTGATTGGACGTGTTCAAGCTCAACGGTGCCACAGCGCGACGGAGTCGCGTAACTTTGGTCCGAAAGTGGCCAGAATAAGCTCGATTCCCATCCTTAGACCGACGACGAGGCGGCCATTCCGACCTTGACACAGGTACGTATAAAAGTAACTTTTTGGGTGCTTTTTCCCCGCCAAAAAAAGGTGCGATCCGTGCTTTAGCTTTTTCCCACGCTTCACGAAAGTAACTGTCGTTGCTTTTGGTGTGCTTCGCACCCTGTACACAGGCATTGTCTCGTCAATGAACCACGTTTTTGTAAGACAGTGTAGTTTCACATTCGGCATCAGCAGCGGTGCCAGCCTTTACCCAACCTTTACCGTTCTTGGTGATGACTGCCCGTGCCGGTTGCGCCCCACGGTCGTCATCGCCAACAACGACGTCGTTCAGCGCCGTCAGCTCGTATTGTTGATGTAGCTTCCTTCATGCAGAGTATACTCCCTGAAGCAGTGCTGAGGTCGAGTACGTTTGTAAGTGCGATATGGGCAGTGATCGCCCCCGTTGTCGTCGCTGTCACACCCGGCACAGCTCCCCCTTTGAAAATACAGTCATGACATATCTTCTGGAGTATACAGACAGATTTAGGCTGCCCAAGAGGTTCAGAGCAACGGTGCCCATATGTGAGAGGTACTTTAGAGAGATGCACAAGGTGGACTTAAGAAAAGCTGGCGAAAAGCAAGAATGTGAACTTTTATGTCACGTGCCGGATCGACAGCGACGACGACGGCTATGAGAGGCCCTATGCACTTAGAAGAAAAACTCAAAAATATAGAAATAATACCCTTGTAGCATACAATCTCAGTGGACCTTACCTAGAAGCCTTGCGAGAGAGACAAGGCCACAAGCGACATTGAAGTCAGGAAAGCAAAAGCTAACTTCAGCACAAAAGCTAGGAAAAGTTAACTTTATGGGAAAAAAGCAACCAAATAAGTTACTTTCATAGTAACCAGGCTTGACACAGAACTTCCACCTGACTCGCTTGCCTAGAAAAGGCCCAGGGTACATCACTCCAAGTCTAAGAGGTAAAAAATGCCAAGGAAAACACGCTAACTCCTCAGAGCTGTACTCGCACCAGCGTGTCACCCCTAGGTAAATTCGTCCATTTGAATGTGAGGCACTACCGCTGAAACATCAAAGGTAACACCCCAATCGCGACTATTCGTTCCCTGACTTGAATAGAAACCGTAACGCGTCATTATACTTACATCGTCCCACACAAAAATTGGATCAGTGGTCAAAGACCCTTTCACTACACCCCTCCGAGCTGGAGTCGAACCAGCATCTCCAGGAAATATGATATAAACACATTTGAATTCGGCAATTCTTACCGGATGCTCTACCAGTGAGCTATCGGAGGGTTCTTTATGTGAGTGGTCCCAGTATAAGTATACGAGTATGGATGCAATGAGTTTTATGCCCAGGGACGAACCCGGATTCCATCGTGTCAGTGCGGAAATTTCTGCTAACTGGGGAACAAAAGAACGCGTGTGTCGTGTTAGAATAGCCGTTTCTTCTGCTTTGAACAGCTCGAGCTCCGCACCACTCACCACATCTCAGTGTCCTTCAGATTGACCCTGGACTTCCGCCATTCTAACCGTGCTTCCAGCTCCTTCTCAAGCGCGTCAAACTCCGCGCCTTTCTTCTGAAGGGGCCTACTTGTCGAAGCCGGAGCTCTTCGTAAACTCGAGAAGATCTTGAATACCGTGTCGTTCTCACTGGCAGTCCCTTTGTGCACCATCGACGTGTCGTGCATGACTTTACAGCGTTCGGCTCTAGACTTGATCGCCTTTGTCCGTAATGACGCTTGGCAGCTCTGCGCTTGAGTGGCGTTGATCTTTTTGATACCTACGTCGCGCGCTCATGCTTCAATTACAGAGCACGATTCTAACTCGATTTTCGTCCCATTAGTCCTCCCGGCCACGTCCACTTCAACAATCTCCAACAGTGAATCATTGTACGGAACGTTCCTACAAGGCCACGACTTTTGGTGCTGCTCAGTAAAGATCCGCTTCCAAGGCTAGAGTTAGTATCGCCCGGTCTCCGAGTCAACGGCTTGTTATTTACCACTTGTTCTCAACGTGATCCCGTCTTACTTCCTGGGCGCCGCTGTAGCTATCCAAAAAAAACGCACCAGAATCCTTCTCGTCGCTTACAATAATTCTCACCTAGCTGTTGCTCTACGCAGTGCTTGGCCTTTGTGTCCTCCACTGGCAGGACGCATAGGAGAAGTCTGTTGGCTCTTTATGTGTTGCAGTTTATGGGAACATGGTGAGTAAGTATGTGATCTATGCATGATCTGTTTAGCCTCGTAACCGCGCTGCTGTTTTAAACGCTCTATCCATTCATGGAAAAGAAGTGTTACGGCTTCGAAAGACAGATACTTATCAATAGACGGACCTCAACGTGAAAAACTTTTCCGTTGACCTCACCTCCTCCTCTTGGCGTCTATGTAAATGTGTTCACAATTTACTCTGCAAGCTCCACTTAAGCAATCCTTCTATCACTACATTTAGAACCCGCACGTCAGTCTATCGACACACCTCGAACGTTTTGAATGGCCACATGTTCAGTGTGTACTGCTGATACTCCTCGCTCACAACTGCAGCGATACCACTTTTGCTTGACTTTTTCTCATATGGGTCATTACCGGGGATACGCCCGGTGCATCAGGCATTATTTCTCCACCCTCATTCTCGGCGCTTTTCGACGCTATTCTTGTTGATGGTGCGCATGATTCATCCGCTTGTGCTACTTCATGGACTCGCTATAATTTCATTGTGACTCGCTATGACTGCCTTCGGTTTGCATATATAAAGCCAGAGCCCTGTCTCCCTTTCGCCCTCAGGCTGTTTGCTATACCCCTTCTCACTGCTACCCCTAGTAAGTGCCGCTCTTACTACTGCCTTTTTCTCTGCGATCCTGTACATTCTGAAGGATTCTTCCGCCTCGACACAGACCAGGTCGAACCCTCGATATCACACAGCACCAGTGACCGTTTGAAATCCCTGGTGAGCCGTATTGAATTACATCGAATGTTTCTGCCATTGACTCTGGCCTCAAGTCTGTCACTGCACGCTCTGGATTTTTCGATTGAGACTGGCGAAGAGAAGTGACATACATCTATCGTGGGCAGCCCTAGAATACCGTTGATTGCTGTTTGACTAGTTCGACGTAGTAAGTGGACACAGACCAACTGCTCTCTTGAGAAGTCCTCTCAAAGTGACCTCGGTCAGCTGGCCGTTGTTGTAGACTTCCTTTCCCCGATGGCCTTACCCGGTATGTACAGATTCTATGGTATTCTCTGTTCAGATGATATTGAATCTCCCATTTGCAGATTACCTACAAGAGCTCAATACGTATCTGCAAAGCCTACCAGGGAGACCGACCATTGGCTGGAGCTTTACCATGGCCGGCCCCTCTAACGCTCCAACATACACAGCCTATTTGAGCAGTATGTAATATCCATCTCGATTCGAACCCTATTTTGAAGAGACCTATGATACAATACTGACCCGCTCTCCAAGTTGATGGAATCCCTTTGACCCAGGGTATAGGCCCGTCCAAAAATGTGCAAAATATGCTGCTACAAAGGTGTACCTCGAAGGGTCTGGACCTGTTGAGACCTTCCTTCCCTAATACGGTCTCTATCCTATGCGGCTCTATTGTGGTCTTCGCGCTCTTGCGGCTCTCATACCAAAGAGTCTGAATAGCGCCGGTACACTTATATATTCCTAGCTAGAGTTTTAGAGAGTACCTAGAGCTAGTAACACAACCACGGACACGAAAAGCATAATCACTGGGAAAATATGGGTGATTATACAAGCGTTTTAATGGTGAACTGAACCGACATCGTAGACGATCACGCTGAACTGACCCAGGGTTCGAAGGCCATGCTCGCATATGACGCAGTCTAGTATGTTGAGATATCACTGGACGGCTTCAAGGCCCACAACATCGCTCGCACCACAGACACGCGAAAAAAAAATGTCGCCGTTCACTTTGAAGAGAACGTCCGGAGAATTGACCGAGTCAAGAAGATTCAGTACCGTGCGAGATAAGTAATGCCCTCACTTCCACGGTTGGTTCATCAAATGGCTCTGCTTGCATTCATGAAAATAAACTCAAGAAACGGTTTGGGCCCGGAGTGTAGACACGATATGTACTGTGACGGAGAGAGAGGAGGGAGGAGAGGAAAAGAGAGAGCGCAGGCGACTTGAAGGTCAGCGACTGCTTCAAGTTGCCGGCGGCGCAGACGCGACGGTCACAGTCACACGACCCGTTTCAGCGTGACTTCACGCGTTCGTGACTGTGGCACTGTGGCTCCTTGAGCCTTGTGTAATGTGTTGACTTGGTGTTGACTCTGTTGAGACGTACGTCGCAGTAAAAAAGAAAAGGTCGTGTTGATCGCCGCTATGGTTAGATGACAAAGGAACGCATGCGTTACGCTAGAACAACTTTTCCTCCTACTATGAACAGCTCATACTCCGCACCTCTCTCAACATCCCGACGTCGTTCCGCTGACCGGGTGCCTCAACCGTTCTTACCGTGCTTCGACTCCTTCCCAAGGGCATCAACCTCCACACCTCCCTTCTGCAACCGTCACGGCCTCCTCTTCACACCACTGATGGTTTCCCCTCAAGGTATCGTTTCCGATAAACACCACGCGCCTGTTCCCAAGCAAATCGCAGTAACACTACCACAGGCACACACAGCATAATGACGGGGAAAATCTGGATGGTTATACAAGCGCTTTAGTTAGTAGCCTTTCCACTAACATCGTACAATGGACCATCGGGTCACGTTGATTTAGTCGGTGATGCTCAGTACTCACTTGCCCCAGAGTCCAGTCCCGACTATCCCTGCCGTCACCACCAAGTAAATGAGAATTCGCATTCAGCGTAAGTTCGTTCGAGACAATCAGCGCTGTAGGCAGCAATATCGAGAACGCGATGCTTGCTCTCTTGAAGATCTGTAAGAGAACGTAAGGCTCAAGTAGTAACCTTGCAAAGAAAGAAAAAATAGCGAAGATGAATAGGGAGAAGTATATAGGTAGGAAAAGGATCCCCAGAGCGCGTGGAAGTAGAGATCTGGCAGTCGGGGCTCCGATGTGTGGAATTGGGAGTAGGAAGAGTGGGGTGAGAAGTCCCATCTCGACGGACGCGTAGGGTTTCAACTGCTCGGGGAAGAAATGGAATAGGAAAAGCGAGAGGCTATCGAGTAGGGCAAAGAAGACAAAAAAGAAGAGACAGATGTATGATATGGTGAGTGCGGCGATGCGGCCTGTCGTCGTTGCTGTGAGATGGGAGCCCAGGATGACGAGGACCGTATGTGGATTGCAGGCTGGATCTGCACCGAACGTAGACGCGTGGCGCCAGACGAACAGTGAGAAAGCGATGGCGATCGCAATGACGGGGACGCCGGAAAGACGCATGATGCGCATGGATTGGTAGAAGTCGTGTTGCTCTTTGGACTTGTACGTCCTCCCATCCAGGTCTTTCAGCTTCACGACCGCGTCCCCGAACATGACTAAGAGTGTGGCGAATGCGTGGAGCCAGAGGAGGATGGAGACTGAGATGGCGAGATAGAGGGAGAGTTGGTCTTGGTGGTTGAGTGATAGGGCTGAGACGAACAGTGCGAAAGCAGTGATCGTCATGCTCCAGTATGAGGCGTTGTTATCCGAGACGTTGGGAAGATACGAAAGGAGCACTAAAATGCACGTTGAGCTGAGGATTCAGGTTCCTTCAAGGCAAATAAACGGTGAGATGAAGGAACGTACAGGTTAGAAATGCTTGCACATAAAATGCCACACGCACGCCGATTCCGGTAATATCTAAAAGGTTTAAAATTGAAGACGATGGTTAAGTATTTCAGTCGAGTGTTTGCACAATTGCCTGGAAACACACCTGGGTTGTCCCGTAACAACGGAGAGCAAAGGCTGGTAGTGTTTAACACGGACTCTATCATAGGCATCGTATGAGCGAGAACTCGAGGGGTGTCTTGGGTATCGACATCGCCGGCATCTTGTACTTATACTCTCAGAATGAATTTGTGATACGTACATTCAGCAAATATCACCTCGCAATCACCGACTCTGCCACCTATTAATAAATGCTTATGAAGAACGTCTGATGACGGTGTATCCAAAAACGAAAATGCCTGAGCCTGATCATCGAGCATTCTCTCAGGCTCAGCGCTAGGAGGTCCAGAGCGAGCAATACTTACGGTGCTGTCATAGCTCTGTTCCGAATTCTGAACAAATGCTATACTCATAGCGTCAAAAACGAGATCCAAAGATCAAGATGGAACATTGGTTGCATTGGCGCTAAACAGACGAGGCGGCCCTATCAGCTCGAGGTCAGACCCTCGGTGAAACATTGTCCGAGGAGCGTTGATTCAACGAACAGCCGTGTCGTATCAGAGCGATGCACCTGTGAGCCTCTCGCATATCGACGGCGGGTCAACGTCGCTCCCCCCCTCTGACGTTAGAACGCGCCCGGCGGTGTAGATCGACGACGAACATCGTATGCGACCTCAACCATAGCATAGGTACAGCACCTTTCATTCTATTCGTTCGCGCAGGGTACTGGCCATAAATGCTACAACCTGAGGAAGGGAAAAGATTACGAACCCATCCACTACATCTGAGCTGGACTCGGACCAACACCTCAGGTGGCAATCAGGTGGATTTCGTTCAATCGAATGCGAGATACTCTTCTTGTCTTCCTGATCGAGACATCCTAGAAAGTACTTATTATAAGTGGATTGAAGAGGAGGATGAGTTATATCGATGCTGCCGGGTCATGTAGAGGAGTTTCCGAGAGCCCACAAGGGAACGTCGAGTCGAAAAGAAAGGGTCGCCGTGATTACCACTGGTCGCTAGAAAACAAAATGAACGCGTGTGGATTTTCAAATTGTTCAAGCGGCTTATGAACAGGCCGGATACAGCCGAGATCCTCCTTCACTTGTACCCTCTCGCCACCACTGTGTCCCAAACAGCTCCTCTATGCCGTCCTGTACTTAAGCTTTGTAGACCATATCGCATCTATTCTTGAGCTCAGATGTACTTATTTAGGCTGGGTTGGAGATAACTTAAAGACACTGGAGCGGCGAATTCTTTTTTCATCCGCCTCTGACGCGCGAGAAATGGCGTACAGACTGGACCAGATTGCGCTTTGCCTGAGAACTCGGAGGGCGGGGCCCCGCTATGACTATTGGCTTGATACATAGGCGTCACAACTCGCCCCTCAGGCTAGTTTTCCCCTTATCCTCGTAAACTCGACTAGTGTACCCAACCATGCCTGTCGCTGCAGGACACGATGTTCAGACCACTATGAACTACTATAAACCTCTTGACGGTGGAGCAGAAGCCCCCTACCTCTACATCTACGAACCTCCTCCTGGCGTGGAAAAGACGAACATTGGACTCCAAGAACGTCCGGTTGTCGTTCACGACGTTCGCCACATGACAATGGAGACCGATGCGTCGCTTGACGTTCATGGATTTCGATATGTAAAGCGGGAGAGTGCAGAGAAGGAGTTTGTGGACGAGGAGAGGATTCGGGATGTGTATTATCGAGAGGCTGAGGAATTGCTGAAGCGCGAGGTCCCTGGTGCGAAGAGCGTCTATATTTTCGACCATACCATTCGGCAAGTCGTCTCATTTGTTTATTGATCGTGCTCCAATACTGATACCTTCATACTGATACCTTCATACTATCACCAGACGACTTGCAGAGGATCCGGTCATGAGAGGTAACGGACGTGGCCCGACTGTACGGTCGCTTTTCCCTGCACCCTCCTCTCATCACGAGATCTTTCGTTCAATGGAGCTGACCGTCTGTCTTGTCTTCCTCACAGCAACGCGTCCACGTCGACCAAACCTTCGAAGCCAGCGCTAAACGAGTCCGTCGCCATCTCCCCGAACGAGCCGACACCCTCCTCCAGTCTCGTTTCCGCCTCATCAACATATGGCGTCCGATAGCCAATCCCGTCGCACACACCCCCCTCGGCATCGTCGACTGGCGTACCATCGACCCCTCGCGCGATCTCGTGGCTTCTAGACACATATATCCGACCTTCGAAGGCGCTACATTCAACGTCCGGCCAAACGAGAACCACAAATGGTGGTACATGTCGGAGCAGACGCCGGATGAGTGTTTGTTGATCAAGTGTTATGATTCGGAGGAGCGGGATGGAGTGGCGAGAGCTGTGCCACATTCGGCGTTTGTCGATCCTGGGACTGATGAGGGTAAGGCTAGGAGGCAGAGTATCGAGTTGCGGTGCTTGGTGTTCGATACGGAGTGAGGAGGCATAGGAGTCGAGAAGGAGATCTGTCACGGTGAAGTCATTGACAATCTTTCATATTCTTCAATAGGGGTTTTGACTCACTTTTTCTTTCTTTCAAAGCTTGCACGTTTATTACCGGTGTATTTTATCTTGAATCGTGCGACTGTTTTATCTTTCGGTTTCGTGGAAAATGCAACATTATTTCGCCTATTGAAGAGCTCGAGAATGACTGTTGAATCTGCCTACTGTATGCCCCCTCCTCGTACATATATGATACCACAAAACCACAGTATACACACCATACATTCGAGCACAAAATACTCATACTGGGGAGCTTACTACAATAGACAGCAGTGGCTCTTGCATGATTAAGTATTAGAGCCTCAAGTGCAATGTTGGCTGCATGGGCCACACTCTCACCGTGACGGGCCACGTGGAACAGCACAACGGCGCTTGTTCAAGCGACGGTACTGCGGCAGACTGCGGCCTTTTTCGTGTCTTTTCAACCAACAGCATCACCTCATTCAACTCACTTGAGGCTCTTCCTTCGAGCTTTCATCTACGGCCATCACTCCTATTATAGGTTTATCTCGTGCGTATCTTCGTTCCACGCCAAACTTCTCGCTGTAGCGGCTGAAAATTTCGTCTTCTAGGTGTCGTATCCATCCGTCCCTTGTGACACGACATTTTCGAACGCGGTATGTAGAGCACTCCTCTCTGTACGCATTGTTTGTGTTTAGCTTATACTGGGCGCAACTTTTGGGCAGATTAGTGGGTTAGCAGAATGACTCTAGACCTGCAAGGGCTTGCGGCCCAGCGCGAAGCCCTAGACGCTCACCTTCGCCTCTTGGCATGCGAAAAACGCTCACTCTCTGAACGCTATAACAGCTTACTAGCTGTTAACTTCCTTCCTGTGGAAATGCTGTCAAGGATTTTCTCTGCTTTTGCCAAGGACTCATCCACCAATTCCTCACTACTACGCGACGTTATCAGGCTCTCACACGTCTGTCGTCATTGGCGGCAAATCGTGCTGAACATGCCTGTACTCTGGGCAAGCTTCGATATCGACGGGGTTGGGAAGCACGAAGTCCGTCATGTAATTTCCGAGCTTCTTCAGCGTTCGCAACGCGCTCCCATCCGGCTCAGCATTGACGTCTCGAGTTGGATGGAAGCCTCACCCCGTCGCGCCGTCAAGGCCGCATTCCAAATTCTGCACCATCTAACACACATTCGAAAGCTCTCTATCGTTGCTGGTGAACATGACACTACCGAGTGGTTCGAATACCTCAGAACGACACCCGCGCCAATGTTGGAGAAGCTCAAGGTCTGGTGCTGCGAGACCGCGCCGTTCCATATCCCTGACACAATGTTCAACGGCGCCGCGCCCCAACTTCGCCGTCTTACCCTCTGCATGTGTCGCATATCACCTGCCAACGCTCTTCTCGCCGAAATCACACAACTCAAGCTGAAGCATTGCCTTGGGGAACTTCACTACAAGGAGATGCTTCCTGTCCTTGCCAACATTCCACGACTGGAGAACCTCCTCATCGAGGAGGAAGAATCAGAATTTATGCCTAATGATCTTGATCTGGCCGGGCGAGCGCGTATTTCTCTTCCACGCCTCAGAAAGTTAGAGCTAAGTGGCCCTGTCCCGTTCATGGCCGCGCTCTCCAACCACCTATTGCTTCCATCGTCCGCTTCCATCATCATTAGAAACGAAATGGATCCATTCCATGACGACAATGTGTTCCTCGAGCACCTCGTTCAGACCGGCATCATCCAAGAACAAGATCCCCTGCGTGCACTCTATGTCTGCGGTAACATATCCGCCAGCACTTTTCTTATTCAAGGATCCCGGACAGGTCCCTATGCTCCCACTCTAAATGCCATCTCTTCCGACCTTCATATGCGATTTGAAGATCTGGGTCATTTTGACCGTTCCTATATCCTGACCACGTACCTCTCGGCCGCGAATCTGGATCGCTTGGAGGAATTGGAATTGTGCGACCTACTTCCCGATGTGCCATGGAGGGCGGTATTTGCGCGCATGCCGAACGTACAGAAACTTACTCTCGGCGAATATGCCAACACATGCAACATTATCGAAGCACTGATGCCACCATCCAATCGCAATGAGATAGACATGTCGTCGACGGGCGCCGCGAGCAATACGGGCACCAATGTTCCCCTCCCCAAGCTGTCCTGGATCGGTATCATGGGCAGTTGGGTGGATCTACTCGACAATGCGGAGGAGGAGTTGGGGGAGTTCTTGGAAAGGTTGGAAACATGTTTGGGGGCGCGTCGCCGGTTGAGGGCCGCCTCAAACCCGGTGGCCACTTCATTTTCATTCATTCTGCCTGATGACGTCGATCTTAATATAGTTCAGGTGTTGACGCGGTATAGGGATCAGAGCGAGACGTGGGTGGGTCGAGATGTTGCGGACGGCGAAGTCGATGAGAGTGTGTCAGCGGTTTGAGTCCGTCAGGACGAAGATACTGTTCGTACTTATCCGAGGTCCGTAGCACCAGTACGAAATTGAAGACAATAAGCTAATAAACATAAATAGTGTGCACCAGTAGCCACCATACCTGTCGATCCACGGACGCCTCTGATTCTATCGGAGCCTTTTGCCGCATCAAGATCTTACTCCATACTTCGTGTTTGTCTCCCAGTGCCTTGACTTTTAACATCTCCGTCACCACGCGATAAGAAGACTATAGCCGTGGAATGTGGGCAACACCCTGTCCACATTTCGATCATTGCCTGACATGGTCTGCAAGAGCGACTTGAGATGCGAACGGAGTCCAGCTGATAACATTGACCCTCCAGATCCGGTTCTGATGGTATTTCAGTGATTTATACTCCTATTGACGACGCAGAAACCCTCTGAATGAGAGCTATCGGCCTTCGGGGCGATATCCCTTGACGAACAAGATCACAAGAAGACAAAGCGACAATATTGTCGCATTTGATACTGTCTATCAGTATGTGTCAACGTGCCTCTATTCTACCTTCATCATCTTGACTGGTTTTGAATTTTCTCGTTAGAATGCTCAACTTTACAGGCTTAACCCGTGTATATTTTAAAATCATAGATTCCTCTCGCGACGAGAATATCTTCCGCTCATCCGCATGGTGGTCCTCGATCCAAGTTTAGTACCTGGAGGAAACAGTACTCGTCGAGGCATAACCGAGAGTTGAGCATTGCTTATGCACTGTTCATATATACCACACATGTCGTTCAGCCCCGTTCAGCCTGTGCTAGGCCCCGAAGGCTGTCTACCCCGGTTCATCGATCATCAATGGCCGTCAGCAGTGGCGATACAGTGCAGGTCGATCTTCATATGCTCTCCGTGATAGGACAGCTCGAACTCGTACGCCCAAATCTGAGAAATTTGGAGACACTCTCGCGAACTGGACGTGCAGAAACGCTTCCTCTTGGTGTGCTCCTAGATCACATTCTGCCATTGTCTGACGTTCGAATCGAGCTTTAATAAGGAACCATTGCAAGCTACGTGGGAGGGCCATGCGGGTATGACTGCCCTCATGCGACCAGCTACCATGCATACGTTCTAACAGCCCCTTTACGCGAGACAGGATATAGTCACCGGAGACCTCGGAGCCGCCACAATAATTTCGACGCAATCGTGTACTCCACGTAGGTCTCCCGGCGTGTCTGCCTTGAGATTTGATAGACACGCCCATGCCGCATGCAAAGTACGCTTTGAGACGACGTGTCAGTCTCCAAATGGCCAGTACAGATATAACACGAAACACTTACCTATGGCATGTTTACTTACTGCAGATCAACACGCTTTTGTTTTGCGTGTACCTCAAGGTCGTACTTATATATGCCAGAGCACTATACGGTCCTCCTTACGCTCGTTTGCGCCCTTCCTGAAAACTCACATTCACATCCACCTTCATCACAACCTTCAACGTCGACATGGGTAAAGGCCACAAATCAAAGAAGAATTCGGCTGCAAGTAGAAGTGGTCCTCGAGCAAGAGCCGTTCCTGCTTCTAGTCCGCACTGCCAGACCTTAGAAGAAGACGGAGTCACCCAATGCTCGCTACGCGCCACACACGGATATCCACTCCACGACCGTTGCAAAGCCCACCACCAGCAGTATCGGAACACGTACGCATCGTACAAGAAGGCATCCTGTATCGTCGACCGGGTCAAGGGAAGTCATACCATCCCCACGAAGAAGCAGATTTCCCAATACACGATTCACCAAACGCTGGATAGGGCAGGTTGGATGCGACTATACCTGCAGGCGATGCGGGTTGAGAAGATGGGACGAGAGATGCATATGAGACGTTTTTTCGCTAAATGTAAGGTCCTCCTTCTATGGCTCAGCGAGTGATCCAACGTGAGCTGACTGCTCCGCTGCGCGGATGAATAGCCGACGACGCACATACATGGCGGGTCAAAGTGCTGGCGAAGCAGATAGTGGAAGCGGTCAAAACTCTGGACGCTCTACAAGCTCACGCGTTCAGGATACGGACATCGGGAGATCCTGAGCATGATTTGATCAAGGAGCTCACTTCTCCTTCCCCGCCGATCGATGAGTGGACCGATGAGAAGCTACCACTGTCTACTCAACGTGCTGTCAATCAAGCCCCGTCCTCTCAGGGTAGCCCACAGCCTCTACCTCAAACTACGCTGAATGATCAGCCGGTCGGACGACCCCGAAGAAGAAGACATAGACCTCGCCAACCTGGTCATCAGAGCGTAAGTTATAGTGTCTCTCCCCATTATCAGGAGACCTCCTATGCTCATGACCTGATTGCGTTGAAACAAAGTCAGAAGGAGAGACGGCGCCTTGCGAAGCTCTGCGCGCGAAGAAGTTGGTTATTCGCCGTGAACGCGACTCGCATGAATGCTTGAATACATCGTTGGAATCGTTTATGGAGTTTGTGAGGGAAAGGTTTACGTTGGGGACCGAAGGTCTTGGAGCGCGACATGCGACAAACATGCAGGATGATCCCAAGTGAGTTCACGATTGCGATAATCTTCGTGACTCTTGGCTTTTCCTGACTGTATTTTGATGCGCTGCTAGTGGGGAATCATCGTGCAAGGTTATGTGAGCCATATCAGTCTGGATGATATATTAAGTTATGTCGTACTGTTTTATGTCGAGTAGTGGGTAATTATTGGACGTGGTAATATTTTCGACTCGCGGCTGTGTCAGATTATCTTTATGAAGGAAGGATACCAGGGGTCTACTACTTATCTGACCGGGGGTGGAGGGCATGAGTAGGAAACAAGCTGGAGATTGCTCGACTTCGATGTCGGTGTCGGCGTCTCGAGAACTTGTGAATGGCCGGAAGGAATGGAATAAAGCGCTGACTTGTTGCTGAGTTGTCAGCATGCCACACCCTCGTCAGCGAACGTGGAGAACGAGAAGAGGGAAAGGAAGTGGAACAGACGAAGGAGGAAACTCCGCTCGGCGGGACGCTAGCTCCGACCTCGGCAGGCTCGGCCTGTACTGCGACCAAATAATAAGCTTCCGCAATTCGCCGGCTCACCGGCCGGCAGCTTCCATTCGATAATTGCGACGTTCAACATTCTCACACGTCGCCCACCGAGGCAGTTGTGGGGGAGATGCACCCCCCGTGAGGCATGCATTCGACCAAGTGGGAAGCAGCCAGCAGCATCAGAATCTTCGCAGCACGGGAATCAACAACTTCGCCGGCCTATATATGCACCAGCGCCCTTGAGTCCGTGCGCCGATGACTCTCCATTGCTCCATTCTCCTCGTTACGCACCCAGCCCACGAAGGTGACGGCAGCTCTCTAGCGAGTCTTCACACCGAGCAGCCATGTCAAACGAAACGGTAGACATTGAGGTCTCCAGTAAGACTCTACTGTTGTAGGTACTTCTGTCTTTTGCATCGAAACGTCACTGACAGGCAGGGCTTGATCTTCACCACTGCCACCTTTGGGGACTTAGAGTGGGCCCTGTGGTGAGCGCCGTGCCACAACGCAACGCCTCTTGATCGAATCTGACGTCCATGCTGTTCTATCTCACCTCGATAATATAGCTCATTGGCGGGTTGTTCAGCTGGGGGCTGTTCGGTAAGTAAACTTTGGGTCTCGTAGGGTTTTAGCCGTGTTTGGCTCACATTCGTTCGTTCTGAAGGTGTACTTATGCTCCAAGTGTGTGCGTCACCGAGTTTTAGTCACCATAGATGACCTTGAGGACGTGGATAGGCTGACTATCACTTCTTACCGACAGATATGTACTATCTGGCGTTCCCCGGAGATAGCAACCTCGTTCAATTTACAGGTCGGAAAAATAGTGTTCACCATACTTTGCGCGAGTCGAACTGACGGCCATGTCTCTTTGCTTCCAGTATACGGAACTTTTGTGCTCGAGACGTTCCAGACCATAGTCGTCACGATACAGGCGTGGAACCTTCTCTGCGCCGGATGGGGACAAGAACAAGCTCTGCTATCGTTAGGATGGGAGTACTCCCTCGTGCCTATGGTCTCGGGCATAGGTAGGACGCACTTCCTGTTTAGATCTATCCCTCTTCGGCCTCCTGGTATGTCACGCTGAGACTGACGTGGTCGACCTATCCAGTCTCTTTTTGGGTGCAGAGCTTCTACGCTCGGAGGATATTTGTACTGAGTAACGGCGATCGTAAATGGCAGGTCATCTCAATATTGGTTGTTCTTGTAGGGTTTTCGGATGTATCTGCGTTTCGTATAATACAGCTGACGTGGGTGTATAGGTAGGCGCTACTCAAGGCTTGGCCGCCTTTGTAGGTTTCAGATCCAAACGTGACAGATGCAGGATGCACATTCACCCAATATTTGCTCCTCCAGGTCGGTGGAATCCAGATCTTCTTCATTAGTACAGTTGAAGAAATATTCCACTTGTACACTACTGTTTGTGTAAGTAATTGTATCCTTCAATATAGACTCCCAATCTCTGATAACCTCGATACAGGTTTGGCAGAGCGGGAGTGTCACCTGCGACACATTGATTGCTATCAGCATGGTGTACAGGGTACGAATCACTCCCTTCACCTTCTCGACACCTTGTAAAGTGTATAGCTAAGCCGCCGCCACAGTTACACGACGCCCGGAAGCACGCTTTCAAGTCGGATAATCAGTCGACGGATAAGCTGTTGTCGAGACTCATCGCACTGACTGTGGAGACTGGATGCCTGACCGCATTCGCCGCTGTGGCGAACCTCGTATTCTTCCTCGCACTGGACACGACGAACCTCTACGCAATGATGTATGTGCCGATCCATCTTTCTCCTCTGCCTTACACCCTTATAAGTTGTTCATCGTCTCTACAGGGGATCTATCATCTCCAAACTGTACACGAACTCGTTGATGGCATCCCTCAACTCACGAGCCACTATCTTCCGGTCAAGCGATCGTTCCATGCGACATCATTCCTCCCCAGTCGGCACCGTCAAGTCTACGGCCTTCAACTTCACCACAGGAAATCCTGCAAGTCGAATGACCCCCGTCGTAAACCTTGCATCATACACGACGTCAGATCGCGGGACACAGCAGCATATAGACATAGACGAAGAGTATGGCGTGAAGCCACCTAGCGTAAGCAGCACCCACCTTTCTCCGACCTGTCCTTCTTTCGTCGACGAGTCTTCATATCGGATGAGTCTATGCTCAGCTGCTCATGCTCGTGTGGATATTAACGCTCATGTTTGGTATCTCGTTTCTCTTTGACCTTTCATAGGAATTTGGTGATCCCGCGTTTGGAGAGAGTTCGGGAGAGCATTCGATTCCTATGCACGATCTCAGCAAGGTTTCTGCTTTGTGATGTGCTTTGCGTTTCTTGTCTGTATGTGGCTATTAGGTTCTGTGGGGATGAGCGGGAATGAAAGGACAAAAGACGGTCGAAGTCTGGGATCGTGTTGCATGGGTTTTTTTGGGTGTCATGGCTCTCAGTTGGGGGACGCGCCGCATCCTTTATTTTTATCTTGTCTTGTTCGCTGTATCTATAGCCTTTATCTTGATGTACTACTCTGTCGTGACCTCAGTAAAATCTGCATACCACCTCAAAGGTACTGCCACCGTCCCAGCGCTCGATGAGTCGGTGTAGGTCTTTGCGCAGAGCAATTTCAACAAGTGGCGATTACTTAGACAGGGGACTTATCGGTTTGGAAAATGAATATAAGGAATAGGGTTATCAATTATTTACGGCACCGGGCCGGGATAACATCGATAACGTCCATATCAGAGTCTTTTCCTCCTTCTCCCGAGTGCGACTTGCGCGGATGCTCGTGGTCTATCTCGTGTCGTCCTTCTAAATTCTGCTGGGGCTTCTTGAGGCTGTATCGTTGATGGAATTCCCTTTTCCGCTCCTTGAGCGGCGCCTCACTCAAGGCGGTCTCAGCGTCACTTGTGGATAGTACAGTCGTCCTCACGCTCTTCCTTTAGCTCTTGTCTTTCACTCTGTGTAGACTTCAACTCGAGAGCTACTATGTCTTTGTGGAAGATCCCACTCTTGCTCTCTATTGCATATGGTTTCCAACGCGTCCTCCACCCGCCCAACGTCGTCAAAAAAGAGGGCCATAAGCGCTTCACCGACTTATGGACGAGGGATTTCATTGCATGGGGTCAGTTCGGCGGCAAGGTAGGCCCTTCTGTCTGTCTATTTTCACCTCCCCGCACGGTATCCGAGTCTTCCGTCTGCCAAGCAATCCGCGTAGTCCACACCGGATAATGGATCCTACGATACCTTAGTTGACCAAAGTCTTGTTTCGATATAGGTCGCTGTATGGTTCACATGCCTTGGAGAGGTCCTCGTAATCTGCGCCAGCCACGAACAGCTGCCCTACTCTCATCATATCCTCAATATCCTCTCGCATACCCCAAAGGCCATTGAGCCTGAGACGATCCGCATAACGTCGTCGTTCCTCGTAGGATGGATCACCACGATGTTCGCGATCCTCGTCCGTCTGGCTTCATACCACTCACTCGGACAACTCTTCACGTTCGAGCTGTCGATTCAAGACAAACATAAACTGGTTACGAGTGGGCCTTATAACATCGTTCGCCACCCGAGGTCAGTTGGTCAACGATTATCCATTTTGTCTGCTATTCATCATTTATTATGGTGCCTTTCGTGACCTTTGAACGCTCATTGCTTGATGCAACAGTTACGTCGGCAGCATTGCCATTCGCGTGGGGACTCTGATCGTAGCCTTCTGCCCTGGCTCATGGTTATACGAATGTGGATGGCTGCGTACCATCCCAGGCCTCACGTTTCTGACGCTCTACGTCGCTTGGGATGCGTATGTCGCCCATGGGATGGTTTGGCGCACGGCGCAGGAGGATAAGGTGCTGCAGAAGGAGTTTGGTAAGGATTGGGAGGAGTGGGCGGGGAGGGTGCGGTATCGCTTGATCCCTGGAGTTTACTGAACTCTCTCGAAATTCGGAAGGTTTCTTGATTTGAGTTTAGCGCTTAGGGTCGCAAGGGCTTTGAGTCCGTACTCTATATGGTTCTCCTATGGTTGCCAAGAAGAGTCGCTTGGTTGATGCAGATATTCGGCTCTCAAAGTCCGCGGCTGAGGTACTTCTTTCTTCAAAACACCTCAAGCGCCTCGTCGTCTCGTATCCTCAGTCAAGATGTCTGGTACGGTGTCTCTTCTCGATTTTTAACGTACGTGCCTTCGCATTAGCTGTCTCACTCACTCGGTAAAGTCGACTGAGCCATAATCACTACATACGTACACCTTCCAGCTATCAAGCCTCTCAAGACCTCATGCATGTTCCGAATAAGATGGCCGAAGCGCCTATCAATTCTGATATCCCTCTTTGACGCAAACTTTGACACGAGAAGTCGATGGTGGAATCCCACATCGCCAGTCTTCTGATGTATAGTTTTCTTTTCCGAGGACGTGACGGTTGCGATTGTGTGCGCAATCGACTAGTGTTCTGCCTCTTCGAAGGCAGATATACGTTGAACAGTACTTCACGAAGGCAAGGAACAAACAAAAGACCATGTGTATCCTTGGCCACAGGACCGATGGCGGCTCAGCCATATGACGACGGTACGTTCCAACAGTGTAACCCCCCTTCTCGTTCACTCCCACAACCACCCTCGTAGAGCTTCCTCTTCTCCATCTAACTCTTGCTTCCTTCGTCTACTTTGTCGGTTGACCCGGTTGGACTGCGGTCCTGCCTGTGTACAGACACGAGATAAGCTAACGACAGATACCATTCACCATGAGCGCCCATTGACAAGGAACGAACTTGTTATGTTGACGCCTTCAGATATAGGGTAAGACTTACGCAAGTTGGAAGAAGTTAAAGCGGGGTCGATATGGTCCCATGCTCCAAGCTGTCTCCATACCTGCCTATGTTGTATTCACACCGCTGCTCATTACTCCGGTTGTATCCTGATGTGAGCCAGCTGTCCTCCAACATCGCGCATCGTGGTGACTCGTACCTTTTCCATCATTAACAGTGCGAAACTCTTGGAGCTCCACCTTCTATCAGTACAGTGAAATGGGCTGGAATGGCGCTTTGCTTCCTCCAAACAAAGTCAGAGGACAGGGCCAGTTATCAACTGAGTTCTAATACAGTCGGTACATGGGCCTATAGCCGGCGCATTGATCAGGCCGCCTTGACAGCCAGCGGTCTGACCTCTGACCGACTTCAGTTTAAGATAGCTCTTCATTCCTTCTGAACAACTTCTGGCTTTCTCTTCGTCTCTTGTGCCCCCTCTTCTATCTTCCGCCATTGGGCCGCAAATCTAAGACAGGATCGACCATGATGGAATCCATCGTCCCTCGCGAAAGTCGTGCAGGTTCCGGATCAAGCTCTACCAGCATTGCGAAAGTGGATGATCCTGAACATGTTCGTGAGGTAGAGACCGGATGGGTGAAAGAGGAGTTGGACTCGGGAGAGATAGTGGCGATACGGGATCCGGATGATTTCCCAGATGGTGGGATACAGGCTTGGTCGGTTTGCGTGGGGGTATGTGTAGTATTTTACATTCTTGACGCATCTGTGGCTCAGCGATCGATTTTTACAGGCTGCTTGTTTTAATATTGTAACGTGAGGTCCACTTTTCGTGCTGCGACAAGACCGCACTCACTGAGACGATGGTTGATCATGCTTTCCGAAGATTCGGTTATGTGAACGCTTGTAAGTCCTAATCATCATCGCTACTCAGTTGTCAGACTACCCAATCTAATTGAAGTTCAACAGGGGGAGTAAGTTGTGTCTAGCACACAATACAGATATCCTAGCGAATCTGATCTCCAACTATCAGGCTTTTCAGATATATTATGAGACTGTCCTACTCAAAGGAACCTCAGCCTCAGTCATCGCGTGGATTGGGTCTCTACAGGTTCACCACCTCTTCTCGCCTCACTATCCTCTACTCAAAGTTGACGAAAGGCCTACAGGCCTGCCTAACCTTCTTGGTCGCCGTTTTCGCTGGTCGCCTCTTCGACATCGGATGGTTCAAGGTCCCCATCCTCGCTGCTAGTCTCCTTCTGGTTGTAGCCACAATTCTTGTCGGAGAGTGCACGGAATACTGGCAACTATTTCTATGTCAGGGTCTTGCTACGGGAGTACGTTTGGCTGCCTCTCTCTTGTTGTCTCCTTTTCTCGTGCTGAAAAAATGTGGCACCGGTGTGGCGTAGATTGCTACAGGAGCGATATTTGGCCCCGTCATGGCTGTCCTATCGCATTGGTTCAAGCGCAGACGTGCCACTGCACTCGGTGTCCTCGCGTTCGGATCGTCCATCGGAGGAACTATTCTTCCCATCGAATTTCGCGATCTTGAAGTCAAAATTGGGTGCGTGGTTTACTGACCAACAATACCTTGCAGGGCAACTAACGAGCCCCGGTATTACAGGTTCAAATGGACTATGCGAGCATTCGCCCTGATCCTCTTGTTCTTCATGACAATCGGCAACCTCGTATGTTTCATTTAATTGAATCTATCCCGTTCCTACTCATACATATCGCAACATTCTCATTACAGTTGGTTAGGCGGCGTTTGCCTCCTGTTAAAGTTCAAGGAGGAATGTTCAATCCAAGCGTCTTCAAGTCTCCCGCTTTCTGCATGTACACGGCGTCAAGCTTCGTGGCGTTCCTTGGACTCTTCACCGGTCCGCTCTTCAACCCGTTTCCTGTCCATCGCTGACCTTTGAGATCATTGACGCGATGTTCATTTAGTGCTCACTTATATTGGTGTAAGCAGTCCAGAGCAAGGCGCGAGTGAGAACATGGCATTCTGTGAGTACGACAAACATATGGACGAACCGGCTGATTGAATTGGAGTCGGAATATCATCAGACTTAGTCTCCATAGCTAACGGTGCTGGTGGTATTGGGCGACTTGTGTTCGGTGTTCTGGGCGACCACTGGGGTAAGTCGAGACTTTCATAATCCTACGCTCACGGGGCACAAGGACTGATGAACCAAATACGACGTCGGCGCGATGCGGCGTGCGTTCCGCTGATTAGGTCCTATGAATGCCATGGTACCACTGACGATTCTGACCGCGATCACAACATATGCGTGGCCCTTCGTCTTCGGCCAACCCTCACTCATTGCTATTACTGTATTTTACGGGTACGTGCCCGACTGTCGTCTCTGTCTTACAGTTCTCTAAGACTGTTTGACTTCATCTTGTACCACTAGTATTGGCTCACAAGCCTATATCGGCCTCCTTCCCACTGCCATGATCAATTTTGGCGAGACCGCGGACGTAGGTCGGCGTATGGGCCTGTACATGTCTCTCATCGCATGCAGTACTGTGGTTGGTCCGCCAATTTCGGGCGCTATTCTTGAAGACAGCGGCAAGTTCGATGGGGTTGGGGCTTGGGCAGGTTAGTTCATCCATCTGCCGGCCTATAATGAAGTTGATATGAAGATTCATGGTTATGTTTATAGGTTCAATGATAGTGCTGGCGTTGCTTCTTTTACTAATCACGAGATACCTCGTGCTTGGTAGGTTTTGGGGGAAGATTTAATGTCCTGTTATGATTCTTTTTTTGTTCTGTTATGTTGTACGATGAAAGACTTCTTCTTCCTCTTCTTCCACAATAGAATTTACACGCAGCGTTTTCAGACACTGGTCAAATTTCGGCACGACTTGAATCCCAGGGCCCCAGGAAAATCGTCTGACTCAAACACGGGGACACATTTCAACCATCGTTTGCGTTGCATTCTGCAACCAACACTTTATGCAGGGAGGTTATATCTGAGCTATATCTGGTCTCAATTTCAGATTGAACTCGTCTCTGGGAAGTAATGGTACGTTTGAATAGTCTCACATCGCCTGAACTCCTCGGAGGCTGGCTCGACAGCCCGTAATGCTCCACCATCACATCAACAGGCTGCTTCATCTTCACCGGTTCGAACACAGAGCAAACATCAATATTACTGTATACTTTTTGACGTGCAGTAACACTCTATGATGATCTCCTTGAGATGCTTCATCTTCCTACTAGTCGGCTCACCCGACCGCGCATCGACCACGAGAACTGACACATCCACATCAATTCCCTCGCGAGGTTCGAGCTCTTTCAGTATATCGATAGTGGTCCTGTTCAGTGAGTAAATGCAGGTTAAGAAATCGCGAAAGAACACTCACCCACGTCTTCTTCAGAAGCTATCCGTGGACTTTCAGAGCCTTCGAAAACAATCTCATGTGAGTGGACGATATATGTATGAGACGTACAGGATCAAGGTTAGCATGGTCGATCATCATGTCAAGTCTTGCAGCTTCGTTCAGAGCTTCGTGCTGAGACCAAGATACTCTGGTTCGGGAATGTTACTATCATCTCCATGGGCCGTGTACCTCGGCGCCCCAAGGTAGCGGTCCAATATCAGAGGTGTCAAGTGTAGAAGGAGAGTGTTGGACGGGGAGACATGGCACGAAGCGAGGGTGAGACGACGAAGCGAGGGCGAAAGACCATTAAACATCATGTCAGACGTAGTGTACGTCGGTCTCTACCAAGCCAGATACCGAGTAGCGTCGGCACCGGAGTCGTCTAGAGGTATTGAAAAAAAGATGCACATATCAAGTTCAGCCTCTGCCTTGATAGAAGCTCTTGAATGCGCGCTAAATGGCTGGATATCGAGGCAAATAGGTCCATGTTGGCCACGTTGGTGACGATATCAGAGTACGCAGCCCAATTAGCGTCTTTCTTGAACGTTGATGCGAAGGGTAGCCCACGGTACCTGCCATCAACTTTTCCACCACTGGCCACATACATGAGACAAAGTCAATATGGTTTAGGCCATGTTCATAGGGTATATCATGGGCAGAAGCGAGGTAGTGTCTTTCCGGGGAGGATGTGAACGTCCAGTCGACTTTTATCTAGAGCAGGGAGCGCATTCTGTTCTCAGAGAGGTGTAGTTGAGCATCTTTAGTATAGCACTGCGACCTGTTTCGCTCGAGGCTAGAAGTTACATTCCCGTCGGTAATTACCACTTCATGAGTTATGTAGAAGCTGTTCACGGAAGTGTGAGAGCACGGATGGGTTGAGGACGTAGATAGCAGGCTCCTGCCTTCTCCAAGAAACCACTCTGCGTCGTGTCCTTCCCAAGTGATGAGGCGAGAACAAGACCAGAGCCCCCTGCTGTGATGGTAAGAAGTAAAAAACGGTGAAGAACTTCAAGATTCTTCCAAGCGCGTGTTGTGGCGGTGGCAAATCAACTCTCTCACGAGTTCGCTGGGCCACAATCGTTTCGCGAGCTACTTATTTGAATTATCATGTTGATAAATTCAGCCTACATGCACGAGGGAAAGTAGTCCCACATACGGTGAGACCTCGCTTCCGGAGGCCGAGTTGCTCACGGCCGACAATCTCAAGGAAAGGAAAGGAAAGAGTGGACAGAAAGTTCCATGGTTGAATATCTGAATCTGTAAGCTCCTATCACAAGAACCACTCCTTTAGACCATCTCGATCACACTTCCATATTGCTCTTCAGGAAAGAAGCCATCATGCATCATGATCTTCCGTCAATCAACATCGCCGCGTCACAACCGTCACTTCGGAACATCATGCCCACGAACGTGGAGCGAGAGCGATACTGATACCCTAGATTTGAATCGTGGACCAGCGTACCTCATGTAGAATGTCCATTCACATTTCCATTGCAGGACATGATATGAACACGCGGCCGAATATACAACAACATTCAGAATGTACAAACCGTACTCAGAGATTTGCGCGGCAGACCGGCAGGTGGAAGGGCGGAAGGTACAAGAGAAAGGCGAGACCAGGAAACGCCGCGATATTTCAGAGTATCTAGAGTTTGGGGAGAGGAATGGCATCGATCTTGACGAGGTAGTCGACCAACATACCCAACCAGGTGATGATGCCCATGCGTCCGTTCATGTCGAAGAATCCTGTGGTTGAGACAATCACCGTCAGTCGCCAATCCAAAGATGAAACGGCAAAGCGAACAATCCATGAAACATTGAATGCTGTACTTACGACCGCAGCTCGTCGGAACTTGGAGGTCGACAAGAACATATTGATAGATGATGTGGGCGGCGGTGCCACCCACGCTGATGACGAAGTAGTATGGTGATTGACCGTTGAGGACTCCAGCATAGGCCAGCATGCTGACGAACATCATCGACAGAGCGAAGCATACGGGACCGGCGTAGTCACCAAGCAGAATCGCCGCAGACTTGACTCCGACCTTCACGTCGTCGCGCCTATCTTGGCATGCGTATATTGTGTCTACAAGTAAACGAAATATGTAAGATACGAAAAAGAAGAGGAAAGGGGAATAATATATGGATAAAACAAGCCAAACTGACCGTAATGCATCGTCCAGCCCCAAGTTCCCACCATCAGGACGGCAAGAAGGCGAATATCAAAGCCCCCAGTGACTGCAGCCCAAGCAACGATCAGACCGAAGTTCATGCAGATGCCCAGCCAAGCTTGAGGCAGATGGGTGATGCGTTTCATCAAGGGGTAGACGAGGAAGAGTGGGAGAAGCTGGATTAGTCCAGCAATGAATCTGCCAACGCGAGAAGGAGGACATGAGCATGGGCAGACGGCAGGATGGGTGAGGACGTACGCGGGCTTATTGTAGAGCGCGAACAAGGCGATACCAAGAAGGTACTGCACAAGGAGGTAAATCGACGCAGCACGGACTGAGATTCTACCGCTTGCGAGAGGCCGGCCTTTGGTACGTTCTGTTCAAGAATGATGTGAGTTACTGCCTTGATCTGCAACACAAGAAAAGTGACTCACCAACCCCAGCATCGTACTCCCGGTCAAAGATGTCGTTTATAGTGCACGCAGAGCCACGGACAACCACAGCGGCAGCTACGGATATAGCGAGCTCGACCCAGTATTTTCCCAGAGGCATGTCAGTACGGAAGGCGGCCAAAGTCAAGCCCCAGGCTGACAATAGCGCATGAACTGTTTAGAAAACATTACGATGAAGTGATAGGATACAACGTACCGAAGGGCCAAAACATAAGAATGCTGCCCGTGGGCTGTTCATGTTCATCGTAACGTCAATGGAAGATATCACGAAAGAAGATACCGCACGTGAAGCTCACCTTTTGGAAGCGGATCAGTTCAACATATGGCCTCACACGTTCGGAGCATAGTCCCAAGGGAAAGGCCAGTCTTACAGGCTGCGCCGGTGCTGAGATAAGTGGAGTGTGCGCGTCAGCCATGGTGAAGTAGAACGCGGGGGTTGCGCAGTGAACACAGAATGTGGGTGGGCGACTTGGTCTCGAAGGAAGTTCTTCTATACGCAGAAGCCGTGATCTTTATACGGGCAGGGATTCGGTAAAGTGATCCGTGGGATGATAGCCCGGCTCGTAAATGTAGCATGGTGGGTTGGAGCGTCGGAGGCGGGAACGCTTAACCGACAGGGTCCTGTCCTGTCCTGCCTCCATCGGTGATCATTGGCAAATCATTTCGAGTCTAGGAGACGAGCAAGATCCAGATACGGATACAATCTTTAGAGAAGTGACCGTGGCCAGGGCGGCCATCTCCATTGGTTGATGTGGAATTTCTAGCAGTACATGGCAAAGTCGACAAGAGGTACAAAGAAGTCAGACTGTCCAGAGAAGACACAATTAGAAAACGACAAACAATACACGGGAAGAAGCACCGAGTATTAGAACTTCTTGCCGCCATCTCAGCAACAGACGGTGAAGTCCGACGGACGGGTGATCAAATACGAAAACAACCCACGCCGATAAACTTGTGGAACTCGTCTTCAAACAAGGTTTCTCGTTCATACCGTATAACACGTTTAGCTGTTGGAGGGAGTCGTCTACGGGACAGACTGCCTGAAGTCTATGGGTAAACGGCTGCAATGTCGTGGAATAGTTGGCATGGCCTCCCTTCAAATCTGTCTCACACGTTCTCGGAGAAACGGTCAATGAAAAATACCTAGATTGGTCAATTGAAGGTACGCGGCAAAGCATGAATTGGCCCTCGTGGGCTCGAAATATCGACGATCTTCTGGAAGACTTCGAGTAGAATCGCGATATGTCGTATAGATAGGCCCTGGATGTTTCAGTCAACACGCTGGGGCAACCAGGTGCTTCCTTACAGACGTCATGCCTTCCCCAGCAGTTCTCTGACTTTCGAGAGGACAAGGTGTCGTCTCACCTGGGCTAAGAGATAGACACTTTGATGATCAAGGCTTTTCGTATGACACGAGGTGTTTGAGAATATGATGTGGCCAACAACGAGGATATTTACCCACGTAAAGCGGCGGCATGAGAATGCCGACTTTTCGTTGGCCATTGCCAAGGGCCTGGTATTCTGCAAGTACAAAGACGTGCGATATCAACCAAACCAACCACTTCGACTTGAGCCTCGGCCTATGTGACTCAATGTAGCACCGAATACGATTGGTGTAAGAATTGCAAGAGCCCAGACAAGCGGTCCTGAAAGAATCTACGAGTGGCGAATAAAAACCCCGCTGACAATCACCCGAATGCCTTAGAGCTTGAAAGTGAGAATCTGATCATGACTGCCACGAACGGACAGAAAACAAAAGATGAAACCTCTCACCGTACTCATGCCCAGGCCTAGTCGCCGTAGCGGAACTCGTTCAAGTCAGTCAACGTCGTGGTGTGAATTCGCAAAAGGGGTACGCATTGCAAACGCATTGCTATGGCCGGATTTTGCCGCAATTTTCCCACATCTCGTGCGTGTGGAAACGTTTCTTCTTTGCTCCAGTCTCACACTTCCGAGTCCCTCCCATGTAAATATTCTGCATCCGTTTTCGTTCCAATGTTCACCAGGCAGCTCACCATCTTATCCACGCAATCATTTCCGCTATAGAACTTGGCAGATTTCGCAGATGTTAGAATGATATAGGCCACACACGCCGGGGACGATCCTTCAAACCTGTTCTGCCGCCTTTTGTTGGCTATCCGTACAAATCTAGGCACCTAACCTATACGCACAGATACAGGGACGGGGCCGTGACAACCTCTGCCGCAGAGCTGCCGAAGCTTGCATCTGTGTGTTTTACCGCCTACGGATAGCCACTGATCATCGATCAATCTCCATCAGTTTACCCTCTGAGAATTTGGCGCCTTTCAGAGCCTTTCTAGTCACATCGGCTTCTGATCGTCTTGCAATCTGTGTCGAAATAAACGAGCGCCCTTCATTTCGATATATGACCGCACGAGAGAGCTGCGTTCCTCAGCTTTAGCTCTCACTCGTACGACCACCACCCATCTACATTCGTGCTAAACTATGCCAATTGTGAACACTTCCGACTTCACGTCCACTTCGTTTGACTACTTGATTGTAGGATCTGGAGCTGGGGGCCTTACTCTCGCAGCCCGGTATGTCCTTTCGCTCCAGCTTTAGCGAGCCTATTGTGGCGTTCCGTCCAGTGCTGGCTCTCCTTTCAGGCTCTATCTTGGCACTAAAAGCCGTTATCTTGGCTTGACAGACTTTCAGAGGATCCCGATGTCGTTGTGGGTGTCATCGAGGCAGGCGAGTATATTCCGGATATGGCCGAAATTCTCATCCCAGGTATGATAGACGCCTCATGAAATGCTAGAAGCGACGCTGATGGAAGTCGTGGCTTCTGCGTAGGTATGATTGGGAGGACGATGGGAAATCCAAGAGTAGACTGGTAAGTGCTCTGTGTGGAGAAGGTTTCTCCTTAGCTTACGGGTCTCGGATTCGTGATTTTGTACGTAGGTCGTTCGCGTCGTCCCCACAGAGCGCCGCGAATAATCGTGTAGTTATTGAGCCAAGGTCGGAACTAGTACCTGAACCATTGTGCCTCATTGCGCTGACATTCTTTTGATGGATAGGGGTAAGATTGTAGGCGGGTCGACTGCGGTATGTTCATGCTAGTAAAAAGGGAGGACGATCTCTGATACCTATGGCTCGCCGATCAGCTTGCTTGGTTGGCTTACGGAAGGTAACTCCCTTCCTTCCATAGACATTGAAATCTAACCTAACGTACTACTCAGGGGCTCTTCTGCGGAATACAATGGTCAGCTTTTCTCTCAATTTCATCGCTACAGATATCAGACCAGTTTTCTCATCATGAATAGCTTGGGAGTCCCTCGGAAACGAAGGTTGGAACTGGTTCGAGTTCCTCAAGTACTTCAAGAAGGTAAACACTACTCGGAACCCTGTTATCATTTTTCAAGACTTGAGAACTGACAATCGTGTTGTACAGTCGGAAACATACTCGCCGCCACCACCTGAAGTCGCAGCGAAATATCATACGGACTACTCGTACGAGTACCATGGACGTGAAGGACCTATCAAGAAGACCTTTCCCCTCTGGCACAATAGTCTTCACACACAATTTCAAGACACATTGGTTGGGCTTGGGGCACCTATGAACCCTGACGGGGTAGATATATCCTTCCCTTCGCTTTTGAACTCGTATATATCCCACGATGCTGATTATCCGGCTTGCAGGGCGCAGGGAAAATGACTGGGACGATCTCGGGGGCATTTTCGGTCGATCCCAAAACAGTAACTCGCAGCTATGCCGCAAACGTACGCCTCGCCACAACCTTCCGTAGAATTTCTCAACTAATACCATACATTATTTGCGCCATGTCAGGAACATTATGCTCCAAACGCCGAACGAAAGAACCTTGTACTGCTTACAGAGGCTCACGCAACCAAAGTGTTGCTGCAGACTGAACCTGATGGATCCGTGGTGGCGAAGGGTGTTCAGTTTCGCAAAGATGGACAATTGTACGAGGTGCACTCTAAAGGGGAGGTCGTCCTGTCGGCTGGTGAGCCTCCATCACAAACAGTTGATCGTCCATTCTCTCAAATAAGCCGCTGGACTACAGGGATCTTCCAGACGCCACAACTACTAGAGCTTTCGGGTGAGTGCTTGGCGGGACAGCTAAAACCTCTTTCTCTGAAAATTCATTATGATCACCTTGTTTTAGGTATTGGGAGACGCCATATTTTGAATAAATTTGGTATTGAGCAAGTCTTGGAACTTCCTGTGGGCGAGAATCTCCGTACGTCTCAGATATATTCTTTCAATACAACGGAGCTCAACGATAAGTATATCGTTTTCGCGGACGCCGCTGTGACATCATAGAGGTTAGTCCCCGGTCGTGTTATTGTGCGCCAAACCCGCGACATAGACGCCAATAGTATTGACACTCGTTTTTCGCTCCGTTTCCAGGAGCACAGTTGGGTTCCGTTCGTTTACGAAGTTGACAGCACCATCGAAACGCTCGATAACCTTCAGAACCCCGACTTCGTTGTTGAGCAGTCCAAGCTTTAGTACGTTCCCGCCTCTTCCTTCTAAGTACTCTGAGATGTGCGCCTTATCATCGCAACGCTACGCCACAGCCAGGAAAAGAAACTTGGAATGCTTTCTTCTATGTCTTCCGCGTACACCTTCTTGCCCCTCCTCAGCCCGAACGGCTCAGACGGCCCAGGCGGCGTCATGGCCTCCTCGGAACACAGCGGCTTCATGGACCGACTTGACCAGTACATCGCGTCCATGTCGACGGGTGAGCCGGAGGAAAAGGGGCAGAGGAAGCAAGTAGAAGTCATGAGGCCCTGGTTCAAGGATCCCGGGCAAGCACAAATCGAGTGCGTCTCCATCTTCCCCTCGTGTTTTCACTTTACCTCCCCGTCGGAGCTCTAGGAAGATGGACGGCGACTGATGTTGGATTGTAGAATATTCCAGCTTCCCGGGTTCTTCACGTTGGAACCCCAAACGCTCCAGCCCAAACCAGGTTGCCACTATCAAACACTGATGGTCGGAATATTGCACCCTCTCTCGCGCGGGTACGTGCACATCCCCTTTGTGTTTTCCTTTTTGTCTTTACATCTCGTCATCTCCCCAACGCTAATATTGTCTCTCCGAACGTCGGACGGCGTTCCAACAGATCTGTACACATCATCTCGAATGACCCTCTTTCCAAACCTAATGTTGACCTCGGCCTCATTCAAAACCCTCTCGATCTCGAAATGCTCGTCAGCGCGGTCAAGTTCTCCCGAAAGATCATCGAGAGCGAGCCGCTGAAAAGCTTCGCGAAAACAAAGGCTTACGACCCGCCGGAGGAGGTTCTAAATGGGGACGATGAGGGGATTAGGGAATGGTGCAGGAAGACGGTGCAACGTGGGTTTGGTCTTGGTCTTATTGTGACGTCTCAGAATACTGATAGTCCTATGAACATGCAGCATTCTACCACCCCTTCTCTACCGCGATCATGCTGCCGAAAGAGGATGGTGGCGTTGTTGACGCCAGCCTCAAAGTCTATGGGACGAAGAACTTGAGAGTGGTAAGTCCTTCGTTCGGCTCTCCTGCCGTATTGGTCCCCGTGTCTGTCCGAGTCGCATCTTGCCCGCCTCCCTGTCCTTTATTTGCTTCCTTTCAACAAGGCGTTTCTTTGACTGACAACGATGACCCTCGTTCGTATCGTGTTTCACAGGTGGATGCTTCCGTGATCCCCGTCGTGAGTCTCTCATTCTCCCCAGTTGTCGTAACTGTGTCGTGTGTTAAACGTGTACTACAGCAAATCTCGTATCACCCGCAAGCAACAGTCTACGCCATCGCCGAGAAGGTGCGTCCACCAGAAACCTGATGACGGCTCACTTCCTTGACCTTTTTTTTTTTTTTGGAATTCTAGGCCGCGGACATCATCAAGAAAGCTCGTCCTGCCGGCGGCTTCTGACTGTGAGGCTTGTCTGTGAAATAACCGAACTCTGTCGCATTCCGTAGGCATCAGGAGAGGACTATAAATCTGGGATCGGTGCCCGGTTTGGTAAGACAAACGGTGCTGGGCCGCGCAACTCAGGCAGATTTCAGTGCGTTTCTTGGCATGGTATACCCTAGAGCGAATTATCTATTGTTTCTGTGGATCAAACAATCTTATATGTTCAACTGTTGTTCATCAGTTTACACTGATCTCTCGAATCTCCAAATACATTCTGACAGCTTCTGACCCCTTCAAACACCAGACGCAGGAGGTCCTCCCGTCAAGCGGCGTAGAAACACTATCAAGTGCGAGGCAGAGCATGGCTGTTACGATGCTCATCATTCACGACCATCATCCGCGCCGACTAAATATGAGCGGTGTGCAGGAAAGCGTTGGAGAACTGGCTAAGTGGACACCGGCTTTCGGCTTCTCGCCGTGCAGCCTGCGGTCTCGAGCCAATACCTGTTTGTCTATGCTTCGTTCTTCCTTGGTTTTTGCTCCAGCAAGTTTATCCACTGGAAGAAAAATATCCACACCGTTTCCCAGGAGTCCTTCGGGACGATGCGGTAGTCATATAAACTGTCGGTTTACTCATACGTGAGAATGGAGGGACTTCTCAATTCATCTTCGACAACTTGCGGGAACGCGCTTAGACTTTTACCACCACAACTCCGAGCATACTTATGAGAATGACCCTGGTGTGTAAACCTTCACTCTAATATGCTTCTCCTATTCTACCTTCCCAGGTTTGGCTGATCTTCCTATTAGATTCAACCCAAGAGAGTCCCAGTGGGATGGCAGCTCATGCAACTTGGGACAAGAACTGTCGCCACGAGGGAAGCTCTTGTAATTGTTACTGGAAAGGTTTCTCAGGGCTCCCTCCGGCTAAGGATGTTGAAATGGCTGAACCGGATGGGCAGGATTGTGATGATTGTGGTTTCTAGTTTGATGTTATTGGGTGGGAGACTGAGGGTGAATGAAGATGAAGTGGGTGGCGGAGATGAGGGGGAGATGCACCTAGAGGCTAGTGTGAAAGGTTCGATGGCTACTTATTGTCCCGATCTACGAGTATTATACCACTTCTTGAAGGGCGTGAAATATGGACATTCTCATAAAAAGCTTCGTAGCAGTTCGTGTAAGTAGATGTACTTGAAGTTCGCTTGATTGTGGCGCAAAGTGCGATGAGTGGCGCAACGTCACAAAGCCTGTGTGACACACTGTGACATACTACTCCAGGAATTCCAGTCGATCTATGGATCTTGCTCTGCTCGACGCTCAGTAGGTCAAACGAGACTTCTGGTCTCGTTCGGTACGATGATCACACAAGAAACAGGCGGGGCAGCAAATATATTTGTGTATCATAAAATAAGCGAGAGTGGGCGAAAGCCCGCCGAAGGCGAGCCTTCCGAATCCCGGCACATTCCGACCTGCTAAGATAATCCGTGTAAGCTGTGGATAGGGAGGGATGGGCAGAAAGGGTGTGGTGGGAGGGATATCTTCACAGATCAGTAGATTGTGCCAGGAAACAGAACGAAACATGGATACCGTGGTTAGTATGCTGAATTTTCCGATATCAAGTGAATCAGTGTTCACACTATGCAAACTGTAGGGAGTGGTGGGTGGGTGCGAAAAAGGGAGAGTCTGAGGACTCTCCGGCTTCAGGCTTCAGGCTTCAGCGGCGAGCAAGAACGAGAGCAGGCGCGAAAAGAGTTGTCACGCCGCTCTCGCTCTCGCGCATCCATAGACCACCCTCTGTCACGACGCTCGTTCCTCGCAACGTCACAGAGTCACATCTATGGATCTTGCTCTGCTCGACGCTCAGTAGGTCAAACGAGACTTCTGGTCTCGTTCGGTACGATGATCACACAAGAAACAGGCGGGGCAGCAAATATATTTGTGTATCATAAAATAAGCGAGAGTGGGCGAAAGCCCGCCGAAGGCGAGCCTTCCGAATCCCGGCACATTCCGACCTGCTAAGATAATCCGTGTAAGCTGTGGATACCCAGGAATTAAGGAGCCCTGTGACGCATCGAGCGAGCACGGATTCCCAAGAATGTAGGAACGGGGTGACGGATGTGCTTACAGAATTAGCGAATTGGAGGCAGCGTGATCCGCCGTAAGGCCTCTTGGAGCTGCGGGTTTTGTTGGATGTATCGGGCAAGGATTTCGGCGTGACGGCGAAGATAGAGGAGAAAGGCTGAACTCTTCCAGCGGCCCTTAACTCGCATAACCTCAAAAGGCATGCCTCGGAGGAGGTTCCAGAC